TGAACATATAACCATTGATTTTACACTGAAAAGATGCCCTGATTCGAACTTTAAAAGAGAAATGTCTCCCTGAGGCTGTTCATATGTTTTGCCTACTAAGGCTGGACCAGTTTCAAAAAGCAACTACAATATGAAAATTGCTCCTACATTTCAGACCAAACATTTGGTCTACACATATTTCAGCTCAAGATAAAACCAAAATCGTTTAAAATAAAGCAAATATTGATCAGAAACATTGGTCACGTCTAAGTTTAGACAATTTTTCCAGCTAAATATCTTTTAGGAAATAGCCTCCTGTTGTTCTGGGTTTGGTATATCAGACTCCCTATCAGACATATCAATACAGACGCAAATTTCTTCAGTTGGTTTGAATCATTTCTTAGTATAGAACCTGGACAGTTCTGAAAAATTTAAGTTGTGGTAAAATATACTTAAGATTAATTTATGTCAAGCTGAAATGACCATTATTAGTTAATGATTTAAAAATCTAAATAAAGACAAATTTTGGCAAGTCAAAAGGTAGACTCAAATGGTTAATTAACTGGAGAAGAATACTGCTGACCCAGCCAGTCATTTCAGTTTCTTACATTTATTACTCTTACATGGTAACTTTGGTATAACTATGCATATCACACATCTGACTGAATGAATTTTTATAAGACAACAATTACACGCTTTCTTTGCTCATCTTCTAAAAACATTAAATGCAGATGCAGTCCATATCTTTCACCTGATGATGCACAATGATGGTCGGAATCACACCATGTAACATTTTTTTCCTGAATAATTTTCCCTTATCTTGACTAAGATTATCTGTCAAAACAGAGTGCCTTAATGTGAGCACAGCATACCAAAATTTTTCTAATACTGCACATTCAGATTTTGTGTTCAGTGCTGATGTTATTAACCATAACCCATTCTTTTAATCTGTACTTTTGCTAAGATTTGACATTCACAAAAATAAAAAATGTTGAATAATTAAGCTTGTGGAAGCTATGCAGTATAGTGCCATACATGTATAATAATGTTCTCTGGCTTTGCAGTTACATAATCCATTTTGTCTGGACCACAAATGTGGAATATTGGTCTGAGCATTATAACCGGTCAAAAAGTTAACCCCTTTGATAAGGCAGAGTTTTGATAAGGCAGAGTAAATGGTTCTGACCAGGGATATGATTAAACAGTTTTATTTTCTTCCATTTAAGAAAGCCCTTAAGTCTATTCTGGCANGAATATTCATCAGCTCAGTAAATATAAAGCCAAAAAATAAAACTGCCCTCCACTTATCGTGTTTACAAGGAAAGTGCACGGCGCCGGCATCGCCATCGCCATTGGCATCGCCATCGCCATCGGCGACGGCGACGACAGACGCAGGTGATGGCAATATATATGAAATAACAGCATAAATTCCCTAAAAGTGACCCGATCATGCTGATTTTTGAACTTGACCTGCGTATTATGAATATTCATCAGTTCTGTAAGTTTCAAGCCAAAAGAAAAAACAGTATTCCACTTATCGTGTTATTGGTAAAAGTGCACGGCGACGACGGCGACGACAGACGCAGATGATGGCTATATGTACAGACACATCTGTGTCTGTACATAAAAAAACATTATGTAAACATTTACGTTATAACATACAAAACTGATGTGGTTCACTCAAGTGCACTCGACACTATAAATTTAGAGTGGCATTGATCTAAGAATAAAACTGCTGTTTATCTACATGAACAGAGTACTGATTTTATCAGCATTTTAGGAAACAAATTACATTTTAACAGGAGATAAAACTTTAGTGACCTGAAATATCTGAACACTGCAATATCAACAATGATAATGATGTTGAACATATAACCACTGATTTTACACTGAAAAGATGCCCTGATTTGAACTTTTGAAAAGAGAAATGTCTCCCTGAGGCTGTTCATATGTTTTGCCTACTAAGGCTGGACCAGTTTCAAAAAGCAACTACAATATGAAAATTGCTCTTACATTTCAGACCAAACATTTGGTCTACACATATTTCAGCTCAAGATAAAACCACAATCTATTTAAATAAAGCAAATATTGATCAGAAACATTGGTCACGTTTAAGTTAAGACAATTTTTCCAGCTACATATCTTTTGGGAAATAGCCTCCTGTTGTTCTGGGTTTGGTATATCAGACTCCCTAGCTGTTTGCATTAGACATATCAATACAGACGCACTTTTCTTTAGTTGGTTTGAATCATTTCTTAGTATAGAACCTGGACAGTTTTGAAAAATTTAAGTTGTGGTAAAATATACTAAAGATTAATTTATGTCAAGCTGAAATGACCATTATTAGTAAATGATTTAAAAATCTAAATAAGACAAATTATGGTAAGTCAAAAGGTAGACTCAAATGGTTAATTAACTGGAGATGAATACTGCTGACCCAGCCAGTCATTTCAGTTTCTTATATTTATTACTCTTACATGGTAACTTTGGTATAACTATGCATATCACACATCTGACTGAATGAATTTTTATAAGACAACAATTACACGCTTTCTTTGCTCATCTTCTAAAAACATTAAATGCAGATGCAGTCCATATCTTTCACCTGATGATGCACAATGATGGTCGGAATCACACCATGTAACTTTTTTTTCCTGAATAATTTTCCCTTATCTTGACTAAGATTATCTGTCTAAACAGAGTGCCTTAATATGAGCACAGCATACCAAAATTTTTCTAATACTGCACATTCAGATTTTGTGTTCAGTGCTGATGTTATTAACCATAACCCATTCTTTTAATCTGTACTTTTGCTAAGATTTGACATTCACAAAAATAAAAAATGTTGAATAATTAAGCTTGTGGAAGCTATGCAGTATAGTGTCATACATGTATAATAATGTTCTCTGGCTTTGCAGTTACATAATCCATTTTGTCTGGACCACAAATGTGGAATATTGGTCTGAGCATTATAACCGGTCAAAAAGTTAACCCCTTTGATAAGGCAAAGTTTTGATAAGGCAGAGTAAATGGTTCTGACCAGGGATATGATTAAACAGTTTTATTTTCTTCCATTTAAGAAAGCCCTTAAGTCTATTCTGGCAGATTCTCTTTGATTAGAGATAGGCTTCGTTCACATGGAAAGTCTATTTTCTAAAAATCTATTTTCTATTCGCGGTATATCTTGTGATCACGGTCTGTGCCCTGAATGTCCCGCGGCGTAATTACTGGCAGTGCGAGCCAGTTACTATAAGTTACTATAAGTAACTGGCTCGCGCTGCCAGTAATTACGCTGCGGGGCACAGACCGTGATCATAAGATACCGCGAATAGAAAATAGATTTTTAGAAAATAGACTTTCCATGTGAACGAAGCCTTACATGCCAGCATTAGCTTTTAAATAAAAATTTCCCACACACCAAGTTACTTCAAGGCCATATGCTATGCACAGTATTTGCTATGTATATTATACAATAGAAAAGATCAACAAATAGTTTGTTTCCTTTAATGCAACCCTGGCCTTCAGTGCATGGAGTATCTTACGTAATTAAAGCATTTTAGCATATTACATGGCTCCTGCCTTTCCCTTTGTCTCAAAGACTTGATTAAAGGCCTGGTCTAAGTTCATGACCTTAACAGGTGTGTATTATTTCATTATACAGCAGCTCTAATAAATAAATCTTTCAACTGGCCTCTTTTTCTTTGTTGTGTTTACTAAGGAGACCTGATAAGGACAGGACATGACTTTCTAGTTTAGTGAAAGAATCAATCAAAGTTGGATATAATGGCAATGTCAGGTACAATACCCAATCCCCCAACTTCCATTTCTATTTCCATTTAGACTAGTTTCATTGTGTAGCCAGTTTACCAAGCTTATCTGTAACATAATGTCCAATGTAATTTCCTGTTTGATTCATAAATGCCAAAGTCTTGCTTGATATATTTCAATAAACCAGAACAGAATGTCCTAACCTATTCAGGTCACTCAACATATAATTTTGCCTCATCTTTTTCAATTATTTTCCAACGGTCAAAAGAATTTAAAAAAAAAAAGCACAGGCCTCTGACAAGGTAGCTCCATTCTCATTAATTAATTATTGATGGATCTACACAAAATTGAATCAATTTTAGTTTAGGTACTAGTAAGCCCATTTCTGGCACATCTTGAAAATTTTATCAAAACAGGTTAAACTTTTCACTTAATGAATTAGTCTGTTAAAACTATCAATTCAACAAAGGAAAAAACAGAGGTTTAAAAAAATATCAACATATCAAATATTGCTAAATTTATGGTGTAATGTTTCATTTTTTTTAATACCCAACCACTGTATAGAAAAAAAATGATGTGGAAACAACAAAAGACCATTTATCACAAGAAGATGTCATGTCATACATCTGCACTCAAATTTAAACAAAACAGTTGTAGAAATTTATCAGTCTACTTTTCAAGACTAAGACAAGCCTGAACCCAAAATCCCTCAAAAACACAGTAACAAATACTTGATTTCTCAAAACACGCTTTACAATTACACTCAATGTTTTTTAAACTTTGCAATTCACAGTTGCATGTCTATACATAATAACACTAGCACATTTCTAACAATATAGGGGCCCTTCAGAAACATAATGCATAATCTATTGTAGCTATTCAGAAAAACACGTTATCTAAAACTCAGTTTTTGTCAACGTTAAGTTTGCAAATTGATTGGGAAATGAGGTCAATTTCTTTTTCCTTTTTAAAATGCAGTACCATAGGCCTATATATATTTTTTTAATTTTTGCAAACTTACATAAATAACATACAAAAATGCTTAAGTATATATAAGAAGTGGTCAGTTTTTTTTTCATATTGTCCCCCCTGCATTTCTCAAACATACAATTATTTACACACATACTATCCCTTTTTTACAACAAAGAATGTGAGCAATATTAATAAATAACATGCTATGATCACAAGACTTCATGCGACAAAAGCACAATTCATCTGCATGTTTAAGACAGAAAAGAAAAAATATGACTCACCTGCATGTGCTTTTCCATTTGCATCCACTTTGACAACCACGGGTCTATTGTTCCCTTGTGGAGTATAGTTTCTTCTACCATTTCCTAGTTCTTTTTGTGGAGTATTGCTCAAACTAGTTTCTTCATCATCTGAGTTCTGCTGAAGGTGGTAGTGATCATGATTGGTGGCCATCTTGTGCCTCAAAACTGTGGCTGCTCAGCTACATGCAAGCCTGAATGAATAATCAGTCCAGTATTAGTACAACAGTGCACCCCAGCCTGAAGTGCATACTGATAACAACACAGATCTGGTTTAAGCCAAGAGCTGGGTCCAATTTCAATCTAAGTGCAGACATCTTAGCATTTTGTTGTTCTTTCACTAGCACAAATTGTAGTACATTGTTTGAATTTACCAAACACAAATGATAAAACTTAACCAAGAAATAGAGTAACTGATTTTGAAATACACATGGGAAAAACTGGTCTCAAACCTAAGGAGTCCAGAAGTGAATCTGGCCAATTTGTACCTATAGGAGATCAAATGAGCCCTGTTCTAAAAGAAATACCGGCATTTGTTTTAATAAGCTTCATGTCCAAGCATGAGCTCTGCTATATTCAGCATGTGTCCACCTGTTCAGCAAATTTCTCTTCACACCTGTACAGTTGTCTCAATTTTCTTTGATAAAACTGCTCTGCTAATTGTCTTCAAACTTATCTAAAGATAATTTTCCATATAAATCCAAGAGGAAAGTTTTCTTCTTTCCACCCAAAGAACAGATTTACCTTGCACTTCCAACCAATTGCATCAACTGATGGTTCATTTTAATCAAGAATAAATCTCAATCAAGCACTGAACTTCTTCCACATAAATTAGGAAATTCCACAAAGGGATTCGTCTTACAATACATTTTCTGCTAGACTGATCACAAGTGGACAAAAGTTCAATCTATCAATATTTCTTGGATCAGCATGTAAGGCATTGGGTGAAGCCATTAATAAGATTTGACCATGGAACTTCATGTTGGTCTAGGCTATAATTTTTGCAATGCCAAACCAGATGCATATTTCACAAATTAATGATTGATCAGATTTTGAAAAAAAAAATCCAGCTGTAATTTTCATCAGAGGTATTATATTATAAAATATCTAATTGGTTTTTGATAAGTCCTTGCTGGGCAATAGATATCATTGGTTTATGAAATATCAGTGACAAAAAAATCTTTGACCAATTATGACAGCATCACAGGTGAATTAAAGTGGACTAAAATTTTGGTCTAAATGTTTTAGTTCAGGCCAATTTTTAGATCGCTTGCAAGAAGAGTATTTGGTTCAGCATTCCACAAACCATAATCCAAGTGGCCAGTCTATCTTATCAGATGCATATGACTAAATCTTAGTGTGATTACCAATATTCCACATGATCTATTTGCAATGCCCCAGCTGGGAGGTCAATCAGTGGAAGCTAGACCAGTTACATAATCTGCTAGGTAAATTTAGAGACCATGCTTGGAGCCAACTAAACACACACAAAAACAGAACTGTTGAATAATACCAAATGCTTATGATTTACTTCTAGTTCTGGAAATTATTAAGACAGGTCAATATTTGTTCTGGTTATGAGAATATTAAAGTAAGGCGTGGGATATTATTGATTGGCATAGTTTGTACTGATGTAGTTTACTGAGAGCCATGGTGAACAAATGTAAACTCACAAATTTCAACCAGCTAAATGCTCTGGAAGTTTATATATTTAAGATTTTCACATTGTCATCCATGATTTATAGTTGATATATGGAAGGAGAGGAAGAATTTATTTGCTTGGTTCAATAATTGATTGGTGTTGGTGGCAAGAGCGGGAGTCACCCTGTATTGCTTGAGCAGGAACACCTTGACGACCAATCAGCGCGATAAATTGATAAAATACTGAGACAGATATTAGAGTGAGGTTAGCAGTTATTGAAGGTGGGGCAAAATTTAGTATAAATGATATTTTCTAGCATGAAACCTGGGAGAATATTGGAACTTTGAAGTACTTGTTTTTAAGCATCAAGCATCACAAAGCATTACAATTACTAAATTTTGTAATTACTGAATCAGTGCCAGTACTAAGCTTTAGTTACAAAAGACAGTCAACAATGGTTGATGTAATTATTTTCCCAAACATCAGCATCTAATACTGCTTTCACATTATCTAAATCTGGGCCAGTGGATCAAAGCTTGAAATCTGTTTGCCTTATAATGTTCTTCTGAATTATAGACATTTGATTTTATGGGTACATTTAGAAACAATATTGTAAAATAAATAAATAAATAAATAAATAAATAAATAAATAAATAAATAAGGCTACATTTCATTTGATATAAGTTTTTGGGGCTTTTCTTGCTAACAGAATTGATAAACATTAACCTTTCCAGCTGGTAAGAAAAAGATTCTTCAAGTACTTTTCTAAAAATCAACAGCCTGAGGCTGATCACTATTTAAAACACAGAATACATGCTTGCTGTAAACTAAAAGATTAATGGATAAATGAACATATTTAGATCTAGATACTGTTCTTTTTAAATGAAACCTTCCCAAACAAAACTGCTACAGAGGCACTGAATCACTTCTCAAATGACTGGAGGCTGCAGAAAGACTGTTGGCAGTGGAGAAATGGTACATTTGCTAGCTCTGAGCACCTAATAGGGCAGCTGGGCTGTATCCTCCCCAGGGAGGCGAGAGATAACCTATAGTGTGAAACAGGGCCAAAATGATTAAGCTTCCTTTGACTAAATAAATGTGATTTAAAACAAAAATATACATATGTATAACTTCAACCATCAGGGTTGCCATATTTCAATAAATATTATTATTATTATTATTATTATTATACTGTACATTGCTAATTCTCAGTAAAAATTATGTTGCTCAATTTTACATTTTTTTCTTTTTGAGTTTAATGGAGTTTTATCTTCCAAAAACACTAGAACACCACCATAACAAGAAATGACACAACTGATTTAAGTTGCACTTAGATATAAGATAATGAAGTTTCAGTGTTTGACCTTCGTTTGAAATAGCACATGCCAATTTGGCCAGTGAGTTTTGAAAGTTACGGGCCAAACTGAAAATGTACAAGCCAAACTTTGGCCTGTTTTATTAAGAAGTTACCAGCCAAATATTCAAAGTGCAGGCCATGTGGTAATGACTGACGACTGAGATGTTATCAGGTACCAATGCTGCATAGTTAGTTATAAGTCAGATGCAAATAAATATAAAATTAAAAACTTTTTTGATCAATCGTTTTACTCATTTTAGGCTCTAGAAGTACTTGTTTCAAGATAAATATTAAAATGAGCTTTAATTAAATATTATTAATCAAAATATAACAACTAAACTTGTGATATTATGGGTGAACTCTGTAGGTCGCTCTGACTGAGATGAAATCGGTAAATAGATTGTTAAAATTTCAAGTGTATCCGAGGTGAAATAAAATTCGTTTTAAATATTGCTTTATTTGAACGGTATTGTATTGTATTAGCGCTAGGTAGGCAATTCAAGTTCTGTTACCCTAAACACGTTGCTAATCTTCGCGCCTTTGAAAAAGCTTTTTTTGCTTTGCTCAGAAAAAGATTTTTAGAGAACGTTAAAAACATGCTTTGGGTCAGAGAGCCCAGACAGTTAGCTTGTATCAGTTCGTTTCTGCTTTGATTTCGTTTACTCATCACTTGATGCTGCTCCACGATCCACTTGCACGCTTTCTCCCGGAAGTATCGACTGCGCATAATCCCCAAGACGTACTTCGTCAAACTCCGTCGCGCAAACGAAGGCTAGGGGCTTTCAAAATCGACAGTGAGACTGTGAATACGTCATTACAGAATTCCTCAACATCAACCAATCACGATTATTACTTATGAAAGTAAAAACCAGGTTAGCAGTTAGGGGAATTCCCTGAACTTCCCCGTAAATATTGGCATGTCAATCGGACTTTTATTGAGTCTACACTTAATATAGATTGTTGACATAAATATACTCGCCAAAATGGCGACTTGCATCATAAATTTCACACGCCAGATTTAATTTCTACTTGCATTTGGCGTGCTGGCGAGTGTCAAGCTTTAATAAGTTTATAATATTTCTCAAAGGTATTCAGACTCTAACAATAAATTTGAATAGAATGAATAGCAGATATTTTTGTGTCATATGGTGGTAACACACACCATTTCTCTTTCACTAACAGGCCCTAAGGCAATAACTGCAGGTTAACCTTAATAAATGCTATTTTTCAAAAGTTGTTCTAGTTAACCCTCAAAAAATATTGCATGAACTGTGATGCTGGGTAATCTTCTTCTAAACGTACACTTTAAAAACAGTATATATATAATTGAATTTACCACATTCACATGAAAAGGTATAACTGCTGGAAATAGAAGAGATAGAAAGCACATTTTGTATTAGTCTAGAAAAATAAGAAAGTCATTAACGATACATTATATCATTAACACATCTTCTTATACATTCTGTTAAAAGTTTGCTTGTGAAAACATTTGTCTAAATTCTTTTGTACATGCTTTTGTCACTAAATTTGTGTAATTCAAATTTCCCAAACTTTCACCCAAGTTATACGGCTCTTCCTTCATACACGTAAATCACATTGGTCCAGTTGGTTGCTTCAATTCACATTGTGGTTTATGAAGAGAAAAGGATTTATACTAACCATAATAACACAGCTTACTTGACTGTACTTGTTGACCCTTACACGACTAGAATGTCCACATAGACATAAATTATATTCAGCACACTTTGTCAATAAAAGTATACTTAAGATGTATACGAATATCGTATTTTACCATGTTTTGCTACTGTCACAATCTCATTTTCAGTCTCCGACAGTAAACCCTTATCTACATGTCCACAAGGACACGCACATTGTACTGCGATTCGTGTCACATGGGGTGAAACTAATAAGTAAAGCGCATTATTTGTTGGATATACAGCCTACACAGTGAATGTGAAAAAGGAAGTTCTTGCACAAAATAAGTAACAATATATTACTCTGGCGCATAATTAGCTTTACTTCTTAATAAAACAGCAACAAGTTCTTGTTTAGATAAATATTCGAAATACCTTATCGAACTTCGCTCCCTCTCCGTTCATTGTTGCCCTTTGGTTACTTCGAAATGAGAGATTCTGTTGTTTTTATTTTTACCGTAGAGCCTAGAAGGGAATACATTTAGTTAATTATGGCTTTTTGGGTCGCATGATTGACTTCACAACTTAAAGAGCTCATATATTTACATGATGGATTTAGTGAAAGGAGTATTATCTTTCTTTCTCATTACTCCTTATTACTCCCAAGAATTGATACAAGGTGGAACGGAAGCACAACAAAAATTTTAAAAACTTTTTACATCTCAAATAAAAGTAATGCCTTCAAACGCGTGGTGTGGCATGAATACAATTTTTAGCCTTATAAAATTATAAAGTTTTGGTTAAAAAATTCCCGCCTTTTTATTCTATTTTGCCGCACACTTGACCTAGTTTTTATATGACCTGATTTTCTAAGGCTGCGTTCTGCAAAATGATGCATTTGCAGGCTGCTAGGATTTGGTCACGTTATAGGGTTTCTCAAGTCCTCTTCACCAACCCTGCTCGATGCTATGTTTCGAGAAAACAAGACTCGGGATCATACAGTGTTAGGGTGGGATTCTTTGAGCGACTTAAACGAAAATTTTCGAATGAAAAAATAATTGGCATGGATCATTTGGGTAATGTGTATTATGAAAAAATTACTCGAAGTGGTAAAACTATTAGGACATTTCAAAATGATAAGTTCAATAATGCTGAAGATGTAACTGACTTTATAGATGATGTCGACATACCGGTAGAATGGCAAGGTAATTGGTTGCTTTGTGTGTGTGTGTGTGTGTGTGTGTGTGTGTGTGTGTTGGGGGGGGGGGGGGGGGCAGTATTTGAAAGGTTAGAACTCACTTGTGTATCACTCCTGAAGGCAATTTATACATGTATTCATGCTCTTTTTCGGGGCTAAATTTTTTGGGGAATTTGGCATCTTCCTGCCTCTGTTGGCATTGGCATTTTCCTTTAACTTTTGTTTCCTATCATTTGATTAAAAACCTTGGTTACGTTGCTTTAAACATTTACCCATTTATCTACTATTCAATATTTTTATAGAGTTAATAGGGTGGGTGTACAATCTTTATATTTAGCATACAGATCAAGATCGTTAACTAATGACAGCTTTGTGAAACGGGTCCCAGAATAAAAAGTGTATGACTTGGCAAATGTGGATGGATAGCTATTTGTTGTTTTAGCACTGCATATCTATTCATTGCTGTTTAGAAAAAATTGGATACAGTCCAGTTCTGCCGTATTCATTATAGAATGACCAATAAGAAAAATAGTTTACTATGCAAAATTGGTGTCTTTCCAAGTTTGCATGTGAGTTCACAGTGAATTGGCTTAGCACAAACAAATATTTTACGAATAACAAGATAGATTAGTGTGCAAAAATATGACTAACTCAGTTTTGTGAGTAATTTTATTGGATTTTTCAAAAATTTAATTTTAGGTTGGCTGAGAAAAACAAGAGATGATCCACCCACACAGGAGGTAAGAACTGGCTACCCAGAAATATTTCCCTTCTCATGAAGTGAGATTGATCACTAATTAGTCTATGGAATTTACTAGATCTTGTCATTGCACAAATGTGCAGTAGTTCTTCCAGGAAAACCTTTTTTTTCTAAAATTTTAGATTATTGTTAAAACTTTGTTAATTGACATTCTTGGCCTCTTCCTCCCCCCTCCATTCCCTTATCTGGTAGCCTGAACAAATGTGTATATAAGGAATAATACATCTTTTTGAGGTATAGGTGCAATAAGGGACTGTAAAAAAGTAAGGAAACATCAATATCAATAAATTTTCAGTCACGATCATGAGAAATAATTGAAAATGAAAACAAGGACTTGTAGTTTTGATTTTAGTGGGAATTTGAGAACATCAGAATACTACTTTTGATTGATAAATTCCGAATTGTACCAGGTCCTTAAAGATTTTATGTCATGGTTCTCTTCCCATAACATCAATGTACTGATGAAGTAGTTTTTGACTCGTCTTGAAGTAGAAAAATGCTGTCACTGTCACTTTGCAAATTTTATTAAATGTGAATGGATAACAAGTTATCATATGCTGTAAATGATTTGCCCAGTAAAGTAGCACTTGGTAAGGCCCTTGTCCTATATATTTGTATAATGTTGTGGGTTTTAAAGCCTGAACATGTAGACAATTGTTGAAGACAGGAGAATCTTTGTAAGTTATCCCTTGAGCTTTCTTTAAAACTTAAAAGATATATCTTTCATGATTTTTTTTCAGGAAATCAATATAAATCTAGCAATTGCAGCAACCAAGAAAATTAAAGGTAGACAGTTGGAAGAAAAATATAACCAGGTAGGCAGTCACTGTAAAATTTTTTTTTGTGTGTAAACTATGATTAGTCAGTTGCTTTTATTGAGTGGCAATTTACATTAAATGCATCATTGCTCAATTTAAAACTTTTTGTGTGAAGAAAAAATATCAGAATAAACTAAATTCCTTGCAATAACCCCCAAGGCACAATATGTATTTTCTTTAAAGGATTGGTGAAACTAGAATTATAATGTTATAGTAATACATTTGTACTGTTAGATTTGTGTGCAATATTTACTATTGATATCTTCCTTAGGTTCAACCTGGACCCTGATAGTTGATTTATTAGGACCTCATAAGTGAAAATGTATAATGGTTTTTGTTGTACTTTCCTGTGAACATGCAGGCAGCAGTGTAAAAAGTCTATCTTCTAAGAAAATGTATAATGGTTTTTGTTGTACTTTCCTAGGAACATGCAGGCAGCAGTGTAAAAAGTCAATCTTCTAAGAAAAAAGGTTTACAAATTTAATTCCTATTTTTAATTCCAACATCTAAGTGTTGATAGCATTTTTTAGTCTTTAGAGCTTAGTTTGCTGGATTTGTAGATCTTAAATTTTGATATTTTTCATAAAAATGATATAGTATACCATTGGTTTTAATGTTGGTTGCTTCCTTTGTAAGATTTAAAATTACTACATTTGCTCAAAAATTGAACATAATGTGACACTAAAAAAATACACATTTTTGTTCAGTTGATAAACTTTTTGAAAAGTCATTAAAACATTAAGATTGTTTTTAATCTGAAATACTGTAAACTGCATGTCCAATTGAGTTTATGACTTTTAACTTGTTCTTTTATTTTACTATGAAGTTGCTCTCATTCTGTTTTTTTTTTTTTTTTTCAGTTGCATTTCCAAGCTATGACGAGTATGAAATCAAAGCAGGTGCTGAAATAAGGAACTTTCCGATTTCAGACAAGGATAAAAAATCATAACAGACCTTTTCTGAATAAAGCTTGGCAACATGAATGATATTGCATATCATTTTATAACTATTGCATCATCTTGATTGACTGATGCACAGTTCACTTAGATTTCTGGCAGAAATCAAATACAGAAAGTTGATGCAAACATCTACTAGTACATATATGCTGTACTTTCTCTTTTGTTTGTGAACTGAGGGTGTATGAGATAGATGCAATGGACCTAACAACTTCTGGGTTACCTCTAAAGCTGCAATGCGGGCCATGTACACTTTTTGATAGCTTTGACCTCATTACTTTAGTCATAAGCTCATAGACCCCATTTCCATAGATTTTTAGATCAATCTATCCCTGTGGGGAGTCTCACTAGATTACTGTCAGCTTGGCCGGCTTAAGCTTCTGTCCCGCCTGCTAAAAGCTGTAAGGGGGTAATTAACTATGGTGCCCGCTCGGCTGACTGCAATTTAACTTGAACCCCCAGGGAGTTAGGTCGATCTAAAACTTAATCTTTAGATCGATCTAAATCTCTGGGAAGGCACCCAAAGTTTGTATATTGATGTATTATTCTTGGTGTTTAAAAGTATACTGAGGTCAAACAACACTTTAAATTATCATTTATATGCCCAAATTTCATTATTGACCATTTTCTCAAAAAAAAAAAGGAAAGAAAAAAATTATTACATTTTATAAGCTTATACACAGATACAGGTGTGAATCTAGTTTAAGATATGCCCACAATGCACCATAGTCAAATAGTACTCTTAGTTTCCCTGGCTTTTTATCAGAAATGACTGGATGATGCAGTAAGTACTTACTATCTGTCAATATCTCATCTTCAGGGATCTTCTCAGCATAACCCTTCTTCAAAAACTCTGCACTTGCCCATCCCCAACGTCTCTATCACCTGCCTAGGTTTGTTTTACCCTTACTTGCTTTTATCTTCAAATGCATAGGTTTTTGCTTGTTTACTTTGGCCAAACCATGCTGCCTTTCTTTACTTTCAACACATCAGCTGCCCATAAGTCAATCTTGGTATTGGTACTGTGTAAAGAGGAAGTAATTATATCATCTATCATATTATACAAAATGTTATTATTGCCATTCTAGCTTTACTTATTCTAGCTTTACTGTCATAGAATAAGGGATGCTACCTTTCTTTGGGTAACAATCCGTGTTTACGTTGTCTCCAAACATTTCATAGAATAGCTTAAGTGGAAGAACATTACCATCTGCACCAGTGTCAATTTTAACATGCCTTTTGTCATTGCACTGTCTTCCTGGCAGATATGTTGAGCACTGTGTGTGCTGATTCCTTTCTCTCAAATGTGTCAGTCCTGATAACACCAAAATGTAAACATTATTCTTCACTATTATGTTCTTTGGAGTGATTTTCCTTCCTGGGGCCTGGCTAAGGGCACAATCACATGCCCAGCCATAAGCAGGACTGCTAGTACACCCTTTACCTCATGCCCAGTGGCCCTTTTGTCTGCATTGCCATCATGTTGCTTCCTTTGCTAGGCAAACCAAGCAGACATGGTTGGCTCCATTGGCTTCAAGGTTACAGAACTGTGCTACATGCAGTTTGAGTCAGATTTATAGCCATATATCATTGAATTGATCTGGGTTTCTGATGTTTGTAGCTGCTTGAATGCTTAATGATGTGAAACTGATGCATCATGTATATTGCATGATTCTATGGTTTTGGTCAGTGTTAAACTGTTATCTGCTATAAACAGGGCTTTTTGCACTCAAGGGGGCTTCATGACATCTATTTAGTCTTTCATTTTTGTCTGTAAACTACCATTTGTCCACTTGATTTGTGAGATGGCTGACAAAATGTTCTGTTGACTTACTAGTAGAATAAAGGATGCTCCCTCATCCTGGACATTAGAATTAGCCATTGTAGTAGAATAGTGTTGGATTGTAAAAAAATTCTGAAAGGTATTGTCGAATTCAGCTGACATGAGACTCCATGTATAACCACTATAGTTCTTGGTTAATAAATCTAAGTTTATTTCAGAGAGTGGTTAATATACAATTGTGTTCTCTCTTCAGTGTCTGGAGCAAGACAGTGCATCAAACTTTGAATTAAGCTGGCTTCTGTGATAGCTGTAGCTATCACTGCTGGTTTTAGGCTCACTTCTACCAAGGCTGCTGGGTGAAGCTCGGCCATTGTCTGAACCTGTGTTTGTATTATAAAGGGCCGGATTTGTAATTTCATCTGCTGTGTTCGTTTGAAGGGCTTTAACAAGTAAAGTCTTTCCTTACCCTTTCTGGCAGAGTTTGAAACCATATTTATGCACTTTTCTTTAAAAGAAATGGCAGATATTGTGTTTTGTCTAGTTGATTTGCTGCAAAGGCTTCGAACTTCATCAGCAAGACTGACTAAAAACTACAATGCAACCACAGAGGTGAGGCGTGGTCTCTCTCACTCTCATTGATCACTTTTAAGTTATAAATTATGTAATTAAAAATAATGCACGAGTTGTGTATATGTGGTAATATAATTATAGGCTCATTGTTTGAGGATGCCAGCACATTGTTTGCTAATGACATCACCTGACACAATCTCTTAAATTAAACTTTTGTGGTAGAAAACTTGGTATAATTTACTGATTGCATCTTAAGATGTAGTCACAAAGGTCTGTTATCTGAAATAATTAAATAGTGCCTTAATTTCATATCTGTAATTCCACAACATGTTTTTTTTTTTTTTTTTTTTTAAATCTAAAATCATCTCTATCATACATGGGTTTGCAATCCAATGATTTCATGCCCCATACTGTAGTGGAATTGGATCGTGGGGATATGGAAAACAGAGAACACTTTATTTGGTAATGGACATCTTATCTCCCTGTCTAAGACCCCATTCCAATAGATTTTAGATCGATCTATCCCTGTGGGAGTCTCACTAGATTACTGTCAGCTTAGCCGGCTTAAGCATCTGTCCCGCCTTCTAAAAGCAGTAAGGAGGTAACTATGGTGCCCGCTCGGCTGACTGCAATTTTGCGTGAACCCCCAGGGAGTTAGGTCGATCTAAATCTAAATCTCTGGATTGATCTAAATCTCTGGGAATGCTCCCTAAGTAAGAACCCATGTTCTATGGCAAATAGCAGCCCTCTTTAAGTTTCTCAATATACCCAAGTTTACACACTGCCATGCACTCTTTACCCTCCAATTATATATCATAGGCAGAAATGCTGATAAACAACTTTTTTTGATAACAAATATATCCAAATGGCATTATGTAATTGAAACCTTTAATTTTATTCTCAAAATGGGAGAAGATATGTACCTACCAGATTTATATATTATAGTGGTATTGAAGATATTAAAATGGTAAACACTTACAAACAAACATAATTTGGTAATTGACATTATATATCAATCTTTGTAAATGATAACCATATATAACTTTGGTATTGGCAGCCATCTTAGATTTTCTCAAAATGGTTAAACATACATGCTTGTTACCTGCCAGATATGTATTATAAGGGTTATAAAGATGTGGAAACCACAGAAGAAAAACCTTTTTCTGGGATTTTGTACTTAACCTTAAAACCAAGGGTTGGCAACCTGACTATAAGGAGCTCGAGTGGATTTACACAAATGATGTCCCTAAAAACTGGCCAATCAAAATGTTCTCATTGAAGCCCCCCCCCCCCTCCTTTCTCACTAAAAAGTTAGTTTAAAAATTGTGATTCATTAATTTATAGTATGAATATTGTAAAAAAAATCGGTCATCATTTTATTTTTTTGATCTCAGTATAACTTTTAAATTGTAAGTTGTCTGTACCTTTGTCTGGTTTAGATGACTTGTTAAATATTCAAACCAAGATTACCATTTGTGATAAATTATGCACACAAGTGCTGTTTTACATAAGCAGTATAAACAAAGCTGTATATCAACTTGAAGAATTATGAACAAGAGTAATAAATTTTTTCAATGTATTACTTGTTATATGAACATTAGTCTCCTGGTAGTGACAGGAATTTAATACTATAATCAGTGTTTTACAAATATTATCATAACTGTGAAATTGTGAGTTTATTTAACAGAGAAACAAAAACAATAGACATTTTACATGGTGCCTATTTGAATTACTAACTCTGGCACATTGCCAGTTTAGCAGCAAAAGTGAAAACACACACAACCTGTAGCCTTTTTGAAATTGTTTTTTTTTTAGATTAAATAAAATTAAACATTTTTATTTCATTATTTCATTTTGTGAAAGGCTCCTCATACTAAAGCCTGACATATTTTGTCCTGGGACTTCTAAGTTTAACAAAAGAGTCGAATGTTTAACATTTAAAATCCTGTCCAGGCATTTATCTTCTGCATGCTGCCTTTAATGAAGATAACAGTTCCGCATCAAAATAAGAATTTCATAACATAATGATCTAATCCCCTGAATCATGGCAACTTGCATTTTCAGTAGTCTCTGCTACCAATTGAATAAAGTAAAATTTGGAGATGCTGTAATGCTCGTGCTCGTCACCTTGAATTAAAATGCCTGCTGCCTGCCTGCTAGCAAAAAATTCCTAATTTCTTTTCCAGTGCATATACAGTATACTAATAATTCCTACAGTTAATCTGCTTTCTGTCTTCCCCTGGCCTTGGCTATATTTGCTTTCCTTTTTGCACTCCTTTTCTTCTCTTTTTCTTTAGCTTCAATTTGCTTTGCTAACTGCCATGCAAGCATAGCACTGATGAAGAAAAATGGGGATAAGATAAGTAAAAAGTAGTATATAAAAGACCATGGATTCTTGGCTGCATACAGCACAAAGTCTTCAAACATTTGATGGTAGTCCCAGTCATCCCAAAACATTGTTGCTTATCCTTAAAGGGAATGGTTTTGCAGTGCTTTTCTTGGATGTGTGTGACTGCCGCATGTGATCTAAAAATATAAAAGTATTACTGTTAAGTACTACTGCTGCTGTAGTATGTTGTAGCACTGAGTTGGTGGAACCCTTACCCCAATATCTATCGACTCCAATAACTAAAATGTACTAGTATCAGTAGTAAATTAATTCTAATATGTTTTGAGTTTTTATATGCCCAATCGAAGAAAACTAAGTCATAAGGGAGAAAATTTTAAGAACATACTAACGACTTTAATTGAAATAAATATATTTGAAAAAAAGAAAAGAGGAGCATATCCCAAACATGTGGGTAGTTTGTAGACTAGCATTTCTGAAACAGAATCATTTTTTATACCTTATCCAAATGTATAACAATGAGAGAACAAGTAGATAAAAACAATGCATTAAATTAATGTACTAGTAATGGAACTCTTGGACTGGGACTGGGAGTGACGTCCCCGAGTCGGAGGGGAGTTACGAGTAACACCTATACATTTATTTTCAATCAAGTCGTACATTGGCACGAATGTTATTATGTTACTCTTGTCCACAAAGTACACATCACAGCTTAAGTTTGTTTTGTTTTCCTTAGCTAAGGTTGAATCTTACCTACGCCGGTTGTACTTCAGCTGACTTAGCTGTTTGCTGGTACGCTATCTCTAGTGTTGCAGTTCATTTATAGATGGCACAAAACAAGATAAGCTTCCCCAAAAAATTTACACATTGGCGTAAATTATAAATGTTAACTTTATTGTCATTAGACTGGGTCTTATGAAATTTTGATAATTCATAAAGGAGACACGAACTTCGATATACTTTTTACTGACAATAAGCAGTGTTATTTTTTCTGACTTTTTAAAAAAGGTCTCAAGACCGCTAATATCCACAAATAAGCCTCAATTTCGGGCACGTCTTAAAACATGAAATGACAATTGAAAACGAGATAGTAGGAAAATACTATATTGCAACTGATGTTGCAACAGGACGTACAATGATCATGCTAAATAGTCAGTATAGTCGGACTGTGTTGTATTATTGAACTAAGTGTGGTCAAGCTTTACATCAAGAACAGTGATGGCGACTAGCGTTCAAGAAAGATTTACTTTTTTCTGGAGAAAGCAGTCTCCGTTCAGCCAATGGCATTCTTCAGAATTTGAAGTCGATGGAGTTTCATTTAACTGTGCTGAGCAGTACATGATGTACAGGAAAGCAGGTATACTAGTTAGAACTTTTATGGAGACGATTGTCATTAAGTTATCTTTGCATGAAGGGTGTTTTGAAAAGAATAATGCAACGACCAATGAATGAAAACAAATCGATTAAAAGGTAGCAGTTGAATATACTCAGTAAATATAATTGAAAATCTTGTTGAAATGAAAATAGATGTAACTTATTTATGATCTGCATTAGTATCAGAGGTCAAATGCAAAGTCAAAGTATAAATACATACTATATATTAGTCTAATTCTTGGTTTTTCACTTGAGGGTAAAATTCTAGTAATTATATTGTCAATTGCTGTTAAAGCAATATTCAAAGTCATGTTCCTGGCATTAAAGCACACTCCACATAAGTGCTTCTGTTTTTAATTAATGTTGTCATTGCGTTTCTTTCAGTTTTGTTTGGTGATGAAACTACTGCAAAGAAAATCCTTGATACAGTAGATCCTGCAAAACAAAAGGCTTTGGGGAGGAAAGTACACAACTTTAATGATAAAGTGTGGAAAGCAAACTGCTGGGATATTGTAAAGACAGGAAATTTAGCAAAGGTGAAAATGTTAAAAAAGTTTTATCTTATTATTTTGTCCACGTATATGCCTCATGTCTTACTATCTTATCATTATACCCCAGTATGTTAAAAAAAAGTGTTCATTTCCATTGTGAGTTATGCTTTATCATATTACTTTGTTCACTTAGTCTGAAAAACAATAGAAAGGAAAAGTCAGTGATTGTCTCATCGTATGATTTTTAAAACTAAATGTCAATACCGTAACTTTAAGATAGATTTTGAAGTTGCAGCAGTGCTGTCATCTGACGTTTTTGCCTGATGCCCTATGTCCTTTTTCCCTGAGTAGAGTAAAAACACCGATCACATCAGTCAATATTATGTTTGGTCAGGTCATATTCTTTTTTGTATGGTCATATTCAATGTTTATTATACAATTTAAGGTGTATTAATGTTGCTGTCATTTATGTCTGTATGGCATTTCTTTACAGTTCAGTAACCCCAAACTAAGAGAGGTACTTCTGGCAACTAGGGGGACAATCTTAGTAGAAGCCAGTCCGGTGGATACAATATGGGGGATTGGTTTGGCAGCTGATTCTGAGAGAGCAAATAATAGATCAACATGGAGAGGCAAGAACTTGTTAGGGTACATATTGACAGAAGTCAGGGCAGAGCTACTAAAAGAAGACGGGCAAGAAGACGAGGTCTGGGACCAAATAAAAGACACAATCAAGAGACATTAAATATCAGTGCCTCAAGAGTAACAGTACCATATGACATTTCATTCTGGTGTGATTAGAGCATTAGTATTGTGCAATAATTGTAGAGGAGATCATTCTTACACCAACTCTGTTCAGGAGTGTTTTTATATATTTGTTTTTCGATAGTTTCTGTTTGTATGCATGGTAAAAGGTTAGGAGACCATCTTAGTTTCAGCATAGGAAATGATTATATAAGAAACATATAAATGTAAAAGACTGTTAACATCCAAAGGAAAAACCTACTGCTACTCTTTCTTAAAGCTTCACATTTTTATGCAGACCTTGTACATGTTAGTTATTAAAATATGCTGATCACTGTGTCTGTCCTTACTGATTCGTAAAAAGGCATTATCCTTTGAATTTCACATGGTCTTTTAATTTTAACAAAGTATCTTTTTATAATTTATTTCATTAATTCTCTTTTGTAAATTTTGTTGCAATGTCCCCCCTCCTTTGGTGTCTGTATATGTGCATATGTAAATATGTATGTGTGTATATGTAAATTTTAAAATATGAAACTTACAGTAGCAGTACATTTTACAACTATAATCTTTATACAATGTTTATTATTATTAATCTTCATGAGTAAAATGGAAATAATATTATACAAACACTTCCCTCTGTATAGTACATCAGAAATTGCCTTATCCTAATAACAATTTATACATTCTCCTATGGTATATTCCATTTAAATCTCAATTACAAGCTGAAATCAAGCACTGTTTCAATAGACCTTAAAAATTAGAAGCTAGAATTATTTTACGTATTTTTTTTACAATAATAAATCTAATTATCACAGCACTCTTTTAACTTGAAGTTCTTGTAAAAACTATTTCCTCTGAGGCTGGTGCATATATTTTCACAACTCGCACATGTCGCCGAAGTTATAATTTAGATTTAGGCATTTGTCCCATCAGCTTCTCAAGCTTCATTGCTAAGGCCATATTGCCTGACAGTTTCAGTTTTCCTGTCATAAATGCTGCTGTGGGTTTCATGCTTCCTTCAAACATCTTCACAAAATCCCCGCTGTCCATGGTCATAGTGACATCTGCCGCCTCTGGCTCCCCTTGACCAACTGCCCCTGCACCATTTTTCATGTCTAAGTACCAAGTTCCAGCATCTGCACCTGCAGATTGAAATTGATATTCAAACATAACACTTGTAGCTTTAAGTGTAGGGGGCAAATTTCTAGCAGAAAGCATAGATACAGCTTCAGCAGTCTTGTTTCAACCAAATAGTATTCTACAGCCCACGTGTGTGATTTCAAATTTGGGTAATATTATTACAAGTGCTACTTTTCAAATGTTCTAGTATGTCATATTTTAGTCGTATCACTTCAATCTTTCTTATTTATGCTCCCCATTTAAGATCATTTTTGCATTTTATATAAGCGTAACATACAGACATGTTTCACATAAAAATGAATATCTTTATAATTTAAAATTAAGAAATATTGTTCCATTGTGCTAGTAGGCTAAAGACTCTCCCTTCATAGTTGTAAGGACCTCTTACCTTGTAAGTTGAACTGAAACACTCCATTCACAGACTTCACCAATTCTTCATTCAACATTTTCTCAAGAGTTTGGAACAGTTTCTGTGGTCCCCCAGTTCCTGCAGCAGGTGCCTGCTGGGCGGCCTCTGCTGCTTCACCACTTTTCTGGCTCTTCTGCATCTGTACCATCAGTTTCTCAAGTTTCATTGCAAAACCAAGATTGCCAGATATTTTCACTTTCCCTGTCATAAATGCTGCTGTTGGCTTCAGGTTTCCTTCAAACATCTTCACAAAATCCCCACTGTCCATGGTCATAGTGACATCTGCCGCCTCTGGCTCCCCTTGACCAACTGCACCTGCACCATTTTTCATGTCCAAGTACCAAGTTCCAGCATCTGCACCTAAACAAAATATCATGAACTGTTTAAAAACTGTGGAATAGAAAAGATCATTTTCTCTTACTTGTACTAGATTTTCCTCTGTTTTTATGTATGAGTAATATATCACATTGACTCCTGTAAACCTCACCTAGGACCTGTATTTGATGCAAGTTCTGTGGGAGGCAAACCTTATTAAGTTTTACCTTGTAAATTGAACTGGAACACTCCTCCCACTGACTTCACCATTTCTTCATCTAACATTTTCTCAATGGCTTGGAATATTTTCTGCGGTCCACTGGCAGATGGTTTACCATCATCTAACTGATCCTGAAGCTGCTTGGGATCAACATCTAAGAAGAAGTCTGGCAGAAGTACATTACCTGTAAATGCAAGGTGTCATGTAGGACCATGAAACAACACAATCTAGTGTCCAGGCAAAACATGGATTAGAGGTGGGGCAGTTGGTGAAGGCTGTATTTCATATTTGCAACATGTGGTTAATAGTTCTTGACAGTCGATTGTTTTATTGATAACATTGTTAGTTCTATTTTATATGTTTTCTATTAAATATATGTAGTGGAGAGCTACTGGTTTCTGGATTCTTTATTTTATACAAATTCGAAAAAATATCAATACTTCAAATACTTTTTGCAACACTGGGTGTCTTCCATCACATCATTTCTCACATTTTAAAATTGAATTTGGTTGTTATAACAAAAGTCCCTAGCACTACCCAAAGAATCATTACTTGCTGAACTATTATTCCAAAAGAATATATACTTAAAGTTCTTACTTTCATTTGCACTTCTAAGATTTAGACCAAATGCAAGAAATGATAAAATAATATTGTCTATTTATCAATTACCTGGTACACAGTCATATTGTCCTAAATCTGTGACACCTGATTCTGTAAGGACTTCATCGTCAATGGCAAAGTGACCGCTGTAGCTCTTGCTATCTTTGGTAAGAATCTGATATGCAGCATCAGCCATGATTTCTGGTTTACGACATTGCTTGGCAACGTCATCTCCTCCCCCCAACATTTTCATAGCAGCTGTGTAGATGGCTATAAACAAAACAGACAGATATCCTACAAATATATATCTGCAATAACTGGTTATAAAAACAAACTTAAATGCCACTGCTGCTAACTGTGGCCATTTATTGGAACACAGGCTTCAGATCCAGGCATATCCCTAAATCTGATAATGCATTGAACCCTGAAATCAATACAATATATTGAACTCTGGGTTCAACATATTATTAATATTACAATGCATCAAAATTAACACTGCATTACCCTAATAAACTGATATACCAAGTTCTAAAAGAGATTTTGTTGTATTTAAATCATTTTGCCTGGGGAGACGGGAGAGCCAAGAAGAATATTTTTTTCTGAGACATGCTGTATCATTTGCCACTTGTATCTCACCTGTTCTTGGCCACAAAGCATTTACAGCTATGCCATAACTCTTAAATTCTTCAGACATCCCCAGAACACACATTGACATCCCATACTTGGCCATTGTGTATGCTGCAAAAAATTTGTTTATATGTCATTGCTGAGTTCTGCAAAGATTTACATATAAATCAGTAAATCTACAAATCTAGACCATCAATTGTTAAAAACTTAAAGCTGATGTGACTAGTACTATATCTGAGCAAACATGTCTTACCTACATGATCCTTGAACCATACTTGATTCATGTTCAATGGAGGACTAATGTTGAGAATATGTGGATTTTTGCCCTTCTTCAAATATGGCAAACAAACCTTTGAGCTGAAAATAACAAAAAAAAAAAAATCTTAGAAGCAGATTTACAACAAAAAAGTTCTTGAAAAGTGATTATGTGCTACAATAAAATACCATTATTATCAAAAATGCAATAAAAAGGTTCATTGAAATAACTTTACCAAAGATATGTCCCTCTTGTGTTGATTCCCATCATCAAATCATATGTTTTCATAGGTGTGACATCTGTTCCTGTCAGGCTAATGGCACTAGCATTATTGATGAGAATATCAATTCCACCAAACTGCTTTGCTGCCTCACCAACAGCCTTTTCTATCTGATCTTCAAAGCGGACATCAACCACACAGGGAAGGCATTTTCCACCAGCTTCTTCAACTAAAAGAATATACATTTATTACAAACACATTTAGGCTATATAAAATAACAGCAAAAACTTTTTGTCCTGTAATGCTTATAAACCATATGAGGCCTTAAGGAGTTCAACAACTTTTTTACTGAAACTACATCTGTTTTAAATGTATGACCTGCAAAGAACAACTTGAATCATTTTCCTGTTTGCATAAATAAAGCAAACTGTAAACAAAGCCTTGCAGGTTTAAATAAGCATAAATCACCTTCTTTAGCAGCAGTAAATATAGTCCCAGGCAGTTTTGGGTGTGGATCTGCTGTCTTGGCAGCTATGACTACATTAGCCCCATCCCTGGCAACTCTGAGAGCTATGGCCTTTCCAATGCCACGGCTGGCACCAGTGATAAACACAGTTCGCCCAGCAAGCATCCTAAATTAATAATAATAATAATAATAATAATAATAATAACAGTACATGGATGGTGTCGAAGGGTTGTAATTCTAATCTCTGCACTTCCTCGTTCTGTAAAGAGTAGCTCACCCTCAGGGACCTGGTTCCTTGGATATCTATGACAATGCCCAGGCCCAATGCATAATTATTGCAAAATAATCTACACAACAACAGCATAAAAAGGAAAAGATGAAAAAATACTAATGGCAAAAGAGAAGATTCCCCCTCCCACGACAACCAAATCCCAACGGCACATAATTATGACTGGTCCATCCATATTCCTGACGAACTTTTAACTTTCTCAGTTGCTTAGGAGATAGCGGAATTACAATATGAAAAAAATCAGAATCATCAGCCATCCAGGGACAGCCCAACCCTGAAGTGCCCCTGTACATCTGTGATGAAAAGGCTGTTAATACTCAAAGCTTGAACTTATTCACTCTAATGGCCTTGGAGGAGTAAGGTAAATTAGATTAGAAAAGGAAAGCAACCCCACGCGAACCGTGGTTAGTTAACTCATTTTGTCTTTTTGACAGGCAGCTGAGTTTGCCGACCAAGTCCACGCTCCATTACTATGCATTAGCCCTGAGCGATTCGTATATAATAAGATGTATCCAATTCATGGACCCTCTTATCACTTTGAACCATTCGATCAAGACAAATCACCTGATCGAGTTTACTTACCCTAACGGTCGGAGAGATCTCTACACCGTGCTATTAGTTCTAGTATGCAGTGGTCAGAGTTCAGCAAATTTGGACTTTAACCCCACCGGCTGCTAGTGTAGGCACGCAGTAAATATTTTTGCTGTTATTCAACATCATTTGTAAAACCTTAATGTGTCTTTTACCTATTATTATTGTTGTCCTTAATTTTTAAAAAAACTTTTGTACAGAAAAATCTCATTTACTTTTATACAAAATATCATACTTTGTGCGATACCAGACTCAAAAGAGTACGAGACCATTTAGTATGTAAACAGACAGATGTTTTTCCCTACCTAATCAGTATTTGCCCAAAGATGTCACGCCAGGGGAAGACCTTTGTTATTGGAGTTGGGATGACAAAGTTTGAAAGGCCTATGAGCAAACAATGGGACTATCCAGATATGGGAAGAGAAGCAGGTAATGCCACTGCCAGTAAAAAAAAATGGACACTGGACTTTGTCCCTGTAATTTCAGTGTAGGTTATATCTTACTCATGATCAGTTGATGTTATAATGAGAAAAGGTGGGCTTCTTAATATACCCCCCCAACCCAAACACAGAAACGTATTTAACTTTAAGTGTCTGTATATATTATGATCGGTGTGTCTGTCTGTGTCATCACTGTCACTGTTGCTGCCATGCACATGACGTTCGCCCCATAACTGCCAAACCGTATTTTCGTTTTAAATTTACTGAGTGGGTTTGTTCCCTGCAAAGGATTTTGCAGGGTAGGGTAAGTGCTTGTTCGCTGTACTTTTCACCAGGCAGGCAGTATATGGTTGTGCGGGTAGGCTGGCCCGTTATATGGCTTGTGTGCCCGTAACATGCATGGTTAATGCCCCTATTTCACACAGACCACGAATCCCACGAATGGCCATGAATTGACAAATTTCAGGATTCGTGGTTGAATCGTAATCAGTTCGTGAAGTTCTTAACAGATTTGTATATATTCGTAGTCAGTTCTTGCACTTCTTGACCAACAGGAATTGGTGGCAAAAACTTTGATGCCCCTATTTCACACAGATCACGAATCCCACGAATCGCCTGGAATTGAAAATTTCAGGATTTGTGGTTGAATCGTAATCAGTTCGTGAAGTTCTTAACAGATTCGTATATAATTGTAGGCAATTCTTGCAATTCTTGATCAATCGGGAATTCGTGGCAAAAAATTTGAGCTGTTCAAAGTTTTGGCCACAAACTCCAGATTCCAAAAAATCGTAGTGAACTTCTGGACAATATTCGTGCGATTCCAGCCGATTCCCACGAATATTCGTAACAATATCGCACCTGTATCGTAACTGAATCGTAGAGCGTGTTGAATTAGACCAGAAAATTGGCAAAATCTCATGATTCCAGCCGAATCCCACGGATATTCGTAATACTATCGTACCTGTATCATAACTGAATCGTGAGCATGATGAATTAGACTAGAAAATTGGCAAAATCTCACGAATCCTTACGAATCCTGAAATTTGTCAATTCCTGGCGATTCGTGGGATTCGTGGTCTGTGTGAAATAGGGGCCTAAAACGGAAGAGGCTGTTGAATGGCAGCCATTACCTGGCCCCTCAAACATGCAAATTCGACGTTTTTGACATGAAAATCATTTTTTGAGACGAGGTAGGTGTTATAAGGGGGTAAATGTATGCTCCATATGTCATCTGGTTGCTTTGTTTATGCCATTGGGATGTTCAATTTGCAGTAATAAGTGTTAAAGTGCGGCTGGAAAAGGAGGGTTTATACATATTTCAATGTCAATGGGACGTGTGTGGTGCGAACAAAGAATGTTTACACGATGACAAGTAGGCCCCCCCCATGTGTATTTTAGTGTCTGGGTGTAGACGAGAAGGCTGGGTAGCTCAGGCGGTAGAGCAGTCGCTCTGTACTGTAAGTGGCAGGGCCCGGGTTCGTTCCCTGGTGTGGCGTGTGCCTTTTTTTTTTGCTTTATTTTGTTTCTATTTTTTTTTTGTTGCATATTTAAGCATATGTTAACATTGTTTTATATATTTATATAAAAAGATAGTTACATTATTATCAGATATCTATTTATGAAATAGACTAAAATTATAATGCAGTGTAAAATAAAGTTATAATGCAGTGTAAAATAAAGTTAGATTTAGATAAAATAAATATGCTGCCAGTGCAACTTGCATTTTCTTGTTTAATTTGTAATTAAATCTTAATATTACTAGATTCAAAAATGAATAAAAATTAAAAGTAAATTGAAATTTAAAAAAAATTACATTTGCAGGGTTTTTTTGCTCTATGAGCAATTTTATTTGGTAAAGCAGCGGGTTGCTTTTGAAAATCAGTATGATCCGTTAACATTTACTATCATTATTCTGTTTTTTTGCACAAATTTGGTGACGTTTGCCCCATAACTTCTAAACTGTATTTTTGTTTTACTTAAAATTTACTGAGTGACTTCATTTTGTAAAGAGGCAGATTACTTACAATCGATATTGGCATAATCAGTTAACATTTATGGTCATTATTCTGGAGACATTTGCCCCTTAACTGCCAAACCATATTTTTGTTTTCCTTCAATTTTACTGAGTGGCATTTTTTGGTCAAGGAAACAGGTTGCTTCTGAAAATTGGCAGGATTGGTTTACATATATACAGTAATCTGTTTTTTTGCACAATTTTCGTGATGTTAGCCCCATACCTTCCAAACCATAGTTTTGTTTTACTTAACATTTACTGAGTTACTTTGTTTGGTAAAGAGGCAGGTTGTTTTCAAAAATTGGCATAATCAATTAACATTTAAGGTAATTATTCCGTTTTTTTCTTTTTTTGTGCGTGTTTGAATTTTTTTCACACATTTGCATTTTAAGTGGCTTTTATGTCCCGTGGAACTGAATCACTTGCTAGTTTTTCAATGTCCATTTTACCTGTAGTACATTATGTAGTAGGGTAAGAGTGATTATGCTGTTTAAAAGCATTATCCTTATGTAACAGTGCATCAAATATGGCCGAAACATTATTTTGTGCACTTTCTTCTGGGTAATGCATAAACATTTTACAGCTTAGCTGCCTTGTTTCCTGTATGGTGTCTGAATAGTTGCTAGCTTTGCTGTCTAGTTTAAATTAAGTGGTGACCTAAAGCAATACCTTGTCTGTTCAAATAAATAAGTCTTTCTATTTACTTTTCAAGTATTATTAAATATTAGTCCACAAGTTGCTCATTAAATTTCAACATTTTCACAAGCAACTTCAAGCCTATTCAAATATCTAAAAGGGCTGAAGCTAACTCAGGGGGCAGAATTTGTTGTTTTCTGATTTTTCAAGGAGCTTGAAACTTGTGCTCCGCTTAGCACANGTAATTATGACTGGTCCATCCATATTCCTGACGAACTTTTAACTTTCTCAGTTGCTTAGGAGATAGCAGAATTACAATTTGAAAAAAATAAGAATCATCAGCCATCCAGGGACAGCCCAACCCTGAAGTGCCCCTGTACATCTGTGATGAAAAGGCTGTTAATACTCAAAGCTTGAACTAATTCACTCTAATGGCCTTGGAGGAGTAAGGTAAATTAGATTAGAAAAGGAAAGCAACCCCACGCGAACCGTGGTTAGTTAACTCACTTTGTCTTTTTGACAGGCAGCTGAGTTTGCCGACCAAGTCCACGCTCCATTACTATGCATTAGCCCTGAGCGATTCGTATATAATAAGATGTATCCAATTCATGGACCCTCTTATCACTTTGAACCATACGATCAAGACAAATCACCTGATCGAGTTTACTTACCCTAACGGTCGGAGAGATCTCTACACTGTGCTGTAAGTTCTAGTATGCAGTGGTCAGAGTTCAGCAAATTTGGACTTTAACCCCACCGGCTGCTAGTGTAGACACGCAGTAAATATTTTTGCTGTTATTCAACATCATTTGTAAAACCTTAATGTGTCTTTTACCTATTATTATTGTTGTCCTTAATTTTTAAAAATAATTTTGTACAGAAAAATCTCATTTACTTTTATACAAAATATCATACTTGTAACTTTGTGCGATGCCAGACTCAAAAGAGTACGAGACCATTTAGTATGTAAACAGACAGATGTTTTCCCTACCTAATCAGTATTTGCCAAAAGATGTCACGCCAGGGGAAGACCTTTGTTATTGGAGTTGGGATGACAAAGTTTGAAAGGCCTATGAGCAAACAATGGGATTATCCAGATATGGGAAGAGAAGCAGGTAATGCCACTGCCAGTAAAAAAAAATGGACACTGGACTTTGTCCCTGTAATTTCAGTGTAGGTTTTATCTTACTCATGATCAGTTTATGTTATAATGAGAAAAGGTGGGCTTCTTAATATACCCCCCCCCAACCCAAACACACAAACGTATTTAACTTTAAGTGTCTGTATATATTATGATCGGTGTGTTTGTCTGTGTCATCACTGTCACTGTTGCTGCCATGCACATGACGTTCGCCCCATAACTGCCAAACCGTATTTTCGTTTTAAATTTACTGAGTGGGTTTGTTCCCTGCAAAGGATTTTGCAGAGTAAGGGTAAGTGCTTGTTCGCTGTAATTTTCACCAGGCAGACAGTATATGGTTGTGCGGGTAGGCTGGCCCGTTATATGGCTTGTGTGCCCATAACATGCATGGTTAAAACGGAAGAGGCTGTTGAAGGGCAGCCATTACCTGGCCCCTCAAACACGCAAATTCGACGTTTTTGACGTGAAAATCATTTCTTGAGACGAGGTAGGTGTTATAAGGGGGTGTAGTGCCAGGGGCAGGTAGAACCGACTGGGTAGCTCAGTAGGTAAGAGCACTCGTTCTGTTAGCGAGGGGTCCCGGGTTCGATTCCTGGTCTGGTTGGTGATTTTTCTGCACTCACCGCAAATGGCTACAATGGTGGCAGCGGTGTTGCGAGATAGGGCTCGCGTCTTTCGGCATTTGGGGGGGAGGAGTGTAGTGCCAAGGACAGGTAGAACTGGCCTGATAGCTCAGGTGGTAGAGCACTCGCCCTGTTAGCGAGAGGTCCCGGGTTCGATTCCTGGTCTGGTCGGTGATTTTTCTGCACTCACCCCAAATTGCTTCAATGGTGGCAGCGGTGTTGCGAGATAGGGCTCGCGTCTTTCGGCATTTGGGGGGGAGGAGTGTAGTGCCAGGGGCAGGTAGAACCAGCCGGGTAGCTCAGTAGGTAAGAGCGCTCGCTCTGTTAGCGAGGGGTCCCGGGTTCGATTCCTGGTCTGGTCGGTGATTTTTCTGCACTCACCCCAAATCGCTACAGGGGTAAATGTATGCACCATATGTCATCCAGTTGCTTTGTTTAGGCCATTGGGATGTTCAATTTGCAGAAATAAGTGTTAAAGTGCGGCTGGAAAAGGAGGGTTTATACATATTTCAATGTCAATGAGACGTGTGGTGCGAACAAAGAATAACTTCTAAACTGCATTTTTGTTTTACTTAAAATTTACTGAGTGACTTCATTTTGTAAAGAGGCAGATTACTTACAATCGATATTGGCATAATCAGTTTACATTTACGGTCATTATTCTGGAGACATTTGCCCCTTAACTGCCAAACCACATTTTTTTTTTCCTTTAATTTCACTGAGTGGCATTTTTTGGTCAAGGAAACAGGTTGCTTTTGAAAATTGGCAGGATTGGTTTACATATATACAGTAATATTCTGTTTTTTTGCACAATTTTCATGATGTTAGCCCCATACCTTCCAAACCATAGTTTTGTTTTACTTAACATTTACTGAGTTACTTTGTTTGGTAAAGAGGCAGGTTGTTTTCAAAAATTGGCTTAATCAGTTAACATTTAAGGTAATTATTCTGTTTTTTTTTTCTTTTTTTGTGTGTGTGTGTTTTAATTTTTTTCACACATTTGCATTTTAAGTGGCTTTTATGTCCCGTGGAACTGAATCACTTGCTAGTTTTTCAATGTCCATTTTACTTGTAGTATATTATGTAGTAGGGTAAGAGTGATTATGCTGTTTTAAAGCATTATCCTTATGTAACAGTGCATAAAATATGTCCGAAACATTATTTTGTGCACTTTCTTCTGGGTAATGCATAAACATTTTACAGCTTTGCTGCCTTGTTTCCTGTATGGTGTCTGAATAATTGCTAGCTTTGCTGTCTAGTTTAAATTAAGTGGTGACCTAAAGCAATACCTTGTCTGTTCAAATAAATAAGTCTTTCTATTTACTTTTCAAGTATTATTAAATATTAGTTCGACAAGTTGCTCATTAAATTTCAACATTTTCACAAGCAACTTCAAGTTGTTTTCTGATTTTTCAAGGAGCTAGAAACTTGTGCTCCGCTTAGCCCAAAAACAATATATTATGCCCCACCCCCCTCTCCCCATTTTATCAACCTTTGTATTCCTTTTAACATTTGATTCTTTCCATAGATAAACATAATATTTCCTGAACATTTCAGGTTCTACTGCATTGGCTGATGCTGGCATTTCATACAATTCCGTCCAAACTGTGGTAGCCAGTTACTGCTATGGTGAACCTACATGTGGTCAGAGGGCAGTGTATGAATTGGGTTTGACTGGCATCCCAGTATACAATGTTAATAATAACTGTTCTTCGGGATCCAGTGCTCTTTTGCTTGCCAGGCAACTAGTTCTCAGTGGTATGGACTGCACTATGGCACTGGGTTTGTATATTTTTAAGTTATGTTTGTGTGATTATATCATACCAAAAATACTTAGATAGTAACTCCCTATTTTCTGAAAATCTAAAAATCTTTTGGCAGTATCTTGTGATCACGGTCTGTGCCCTGAATACCCCACGGCGTAATTACTGGCAGCCCGAGCCAGTTACTTCCAAAGCTGTAATTAATTCTTGGCTGCGCTCAGAGGAGTTTCTGACACCTTGACGCATGCAGTAGTATCTCTAAGCTGTTGAGTTCATCAGTTTAGTTGTGACGACTCAAGCATACAGACACGTAATATGGCTAGTGGTAGTGCTTCTTGCACAAAATTGACAAACACATTTTTCAAAGCAACTGCGACCACCATTTACTTTCTAACTTCCTACTGCGCATGCGTCAAGGTATGAGTATTTCCTCCGAGCACAGCCGAGAATTAATTAATTACAGCTTTGGAAGTAATTTGCTTGCGCTGCCAGTAATTATGCCACGGGGTATTCAGGGCACAGACCGTGATCACAAGATACCGCCAATAGATTTTTTTATTTTTATTTTTAGAAAATAGATCTTTCATGTGAACGAATCCTCATTCTGTCCAGCTGATAGCAGTGAATGTGAATAAGAAACCCTTAACTGTAATAACATGTTTGGACCTGTTAAACTGAACCTGACTGGGCCAGTTCTGTTTACTGCTTGATGTGAGATGGGCCTAGGAATATTTAGGCTTCTCCTGTTTATTTATGATTGAATATTCACATACAGTATTTGATCTTATGTGAACAGATTTACCAAAAATTATAATTTTTACTTCTCAGGTTTTGAAAAAATGGAAAGAGGACTATCCCAGAAGTATGAAGACAAGATATCCCCAGTGAAGAGGCACATGGATCACATGGTATCCTTAGGGGCAGATCCTGGGTTGATCAGACCAGACCTTAATGCTATGACCTCAGATGTTGTGAAATTGTTTGCTTACGCTGCTCAAGAATACATGAAGAAGTACCCTGCACTGACTTTCAATGATCTTGCTCGAGTTGCACTGAAGAATAGAGTTCATGGATCACAGAATGAACGGGCCAGTCTTCAGAGACCTACCAATCTTCAGAATATAAAGAGCAGAATGCTATGTTATCCCATTGCCTTAGGGATGTCTGCCCCAACTGGTGATGGCGGTGCTGCGGCTATTGTGTGCAGTGAAAAATTTGTGAAAGAACACAATCTCCAAGACAAGGCTGTAGAAATTCTAGCCCAGAACATGGTCACCGATCTTCCATCATCATTTGGCAAAAGTTACATGGACTTGTCAGGTTTTGCCATGGCCCAGCGAGCAGCAGACATGTGTTACAGGGACTCTGGCTTAACGGCAAAGGATATTGATGTGTTAGAAGTTCATGACTGCTTCTCATGTAATGAGTTATTTATGTATGAGGCCCTGAGGCTGGTCCCAGAGGGAAAAGCCCTGGAACTGTTTAATACAGGGAAATGGGTGCCCACCACAGAAGGTGGTCAGGTATATAAGATGGGGGACAGGTGGGTGGTGAATGCTTCAGGTGGACTGGAATCTAAGGGACATCCCATTGGAGCCACAGGTTAGTTTACATTCCTTAGTCCTAGCTTGTTATCAACTACAGTGATAGTACTTCAGTAATATACCAACTAGATAAACTGCATCTTGTTGCAACATTCATCATCATGTATAACCATGATTTTACTTAATTGGAGAGGCCTCCAGAGAGTAAATGGTATTGTAAAAGATTATAACAAAATATGACAAAACAATGAGTACATCATTTTGCAAATGATCAAGTCAAGAGTTGTCTTATATCTTCTTCATTTACAAATTCATATATCTTTCTCTACTAATCATAAGGTAGAATGTTTTTATTTGTTAAAAGTAAATCAGAGACTAAAGATGTTTTCTTCCTATGAGAAATGACCTTTTTTGCATTGGCGAGACAAATCAGTTGTGTCTTAGAGACCCTATGATGATGAATCAGAACATCATGTCTCATGTGTAGAAAAAGCATTTATCTCTTCAGAACATTTAACTTTTTTATCTCATTATGCAAGAGACAAAGAAAAATCTCATGGAATAAGTATTTTCAATTATTTTCATTCTCAGGTCTTGGCCAGTGTGCTGAGCTGGTGTGGCAACTGAGAGGAGAGGCTGGGAAAAGACAAGTAGCTGGAGCAAAGACAGCATTACAGCATAATTATGGCATTGGAGGGGCAGCAGTTGTTACCATGTATCAGAAACATAAACCAGGAATACCAAATGCCAGACTTTGATCATCTCATGGGTCCTGTAAATGGAAGAAGAAAATGAGGAGGCATTTGTTTGAGAATGATCACTTGTTCTCTGCATTCGACAACTTTCTACAGGAAAAAGTTGCTAAAAAGATAAAGAAATCAGGTCTATGTTTTGTATCTAGATGACAAGCAAGGTGTGATAATCCAAACTGCTTTTATCTAGAATTTTCGCACAATGAAATGTTTAATACTGTAAAATTCACTGCATGGTTGACAGAGCTTCAAAACTAAAATTATAGTTAATTAACTTTGGTAATTTGTTCAGTGCATCAATTGTAATAATTGATTTCAGTTCTGTGCCAAAGCATACATTAATTTAGTTCACTGACCATATATACTGGACCAAAATATAAATGCTCGGTGAAAAAGGATTGATGTTTATGTTTTAATTATTAAACAATATTAACTGCTATTGCTGGCTATGCATTGTAGATAATTACATAAAAAATAAATCATTTTTTCATTATGCATATATTTTGGTTCAGTATATACATGTATCCAGAACAAGAAGAGTAGTTAGTTATTTCAGGGCTTAGGTAATATGTGTAGACTGGAGTTTAATAGTTTGTTTATGGTATTGCAAAGTTTCAAAAAGTACATTCCAGGGTCAGTCATTAAAATCTCTGAAAATACCAACTTCATATTTCAGATCTTTGACTCACTAGTTCTGTATCATCAGAGTGAAGTGTAGAATAAGGATACTTTATCATTCAAATATCGAAAATGAGTTATTTCCTGGATGTAATTATTCAGTAATGCATCTACCTTTGTGTTGAATTAAAACAATAAAAATCTCCTTGAAATATATATAATATAGGGCCTAAATTTCTCTTGCTATGTAGGTCACTCAAACCTTTTATTGTCTATTTAACACATTTCTATTTTGAGGTGAGACAGCAATTGCTAAGGGGCATAACTTCATCCTTGAACAAGATTTTATCATAAAAATTGGCATAGTTAACCAGAAGTGCATGGCCGCCATGAGCTTCAAACAGTGTCATTAAATTGGCATTAAAATGATGTTCATGGGTGCTCAGGTAAAGGAGAAATTTGAAAAGCCGTTTTTTTTTCCATTTCTCCCAAAATCGCAACTATGATGTCTGCCGTATGATGATGTGTGTAAATGTTAAAGAGTTTATGGCAAACATTTACAATATCCTTACCGTCAGGGCATTGCCATAAAACTTTGTAGAGTCTAAGAGAGTACAAAGGCTTTTGCTAACTCAAACATTCCTCGACAGTGTAGTTTCAAGACGTTAAATGGCTTCTGCCAGCTAAATTGTTGGTGCCCATAGGCAGTGTTAATTACGTCAAAATCATTTGCTTATCCCCCTTTCCCGACTATCTTAAATGTCAGACTTGTTCATGGCAATGCTAAATTGAGTTTGTTTTTTTTTTAAGTACAGACACAGATGTGTCTGTACATATAGCTGTCACCTGCGTTTGTTGTTGCTGTCATGGCCATCTCCATTGCCACTGTCATTGCTGTGCACTTTCAGCAATAACACTATAATCGGAAAGCTGTTTAAGCTTGAAGAAAATCCTATTTTGGCCACTGCCTCCATAGTGACCATTAAAGGAAAACCATGTCACTAAGGGTGCTTTCCCAGAGATTTAGATCGATCTAAAGATTAAGTTTTGGATCGACCTTACTCCCTGGGGGTTCAGGCTAAATTGCAGTCAGCCAAGCGGACACCATAGTTAATTACCCCCTTACAGCTTTTAGTAGGCGGGACAGACGCTTAAGCCGGCCAAGCTGACAGTAATCTAGTGAGACTCCCCACAGGGATAGATCGATCTAAAAATCTATGGAAATGGGGTGTTACTCTTCTCAAACTTACAGAAAGGTAACATGGGACTAAAATACAGCTTCAATTGGAAAACCCGTCTTATTGGTCAACTTTTCTGGATATTATGCAGTTTTTTGTTAGAATTAAAATTTTCACATATCGACATTTTCAAGGTGTGACTTTGAACTTCCATGGGCTTGAAGACCTTTGCTAGTCACATTTTCTGAATATCCATGATACTTTTATTTTATTATTAAAAATTGATGGTCATTAATATCATGTGTTATATTGCATAGAAGTTGAAGAAAACCCTATTTTGGACACTGCTGCCAGGATAACCATTAAGGGAAAACCATGTTACTTATGATTCTCAAACTTACTGAAAAGATTCATAGGACTGAAGTGCAGCTTGTGTTGGAAAATCGTGATTGTTTTCTGTTTTGGAATCAGTGCAGTTCTTTATGAAATGTTCATTTTTTACAGAGTGCTGTATGGATGGTGGTCAGTATGTTATTGTCCCTTGGGTAATCACTATCTAAATTCAGAGCTATTAAGTCACTTGCCAAATTAAACTTCAAGTGGCCATTAAATGAGATTACGTAAAACACACATGCTGAGATTTCCCTGTAAACTCCCATAGGTTTAGCTCTCTGCCAGATACAGTTTGTAAAAGTCTTAAATAGTGTCACATAATTAGGAATCAGTGATAATTATGCAGGTAAATGTTGTTTAATATTACAAATAAGTTTATAAAAGAAAAAATTATTTTGTGTTATGCCAACATTAATGCTATAGATGAATAACAGTGCCTTATTATCCTCATACTCAATGGGGTTATTCATATCATGTTAATACAGCAAGATGAAAAGTTTCAATAGCAGCTTTTTGGAATATTTTTTATGTTTTCTTTTTTTTTCAAACACTGGCATCTTCAAGTTGTGACTTAAACTCCCATCCACCTGAGGCTCTGTACATTTTCTGTATCTCCAGATAAGCAGTAGTAGTGGTATTTGTCTTTAAACATTATGTAATATTATTTTATGCACTGTCATCATTTTTCACATATTGAGATTTTCATTATGTGAATTTGAACTCTCATGGTCCTGAAACTGTAATCTTATTGACCAGGTTGCCTGTTGTGCATGATTAAAAATTAGTGTTGACTGACTATGCTGTTATAACTTAAAAGCATTATTTATTATTGCATCAATATCGACAAAATGACCTATTTTCTGCTTTTTGTTTGTACATTTGACAGCTTTGCTGCCTTGTTTTTCAAAGTTAGGGGTGAGGGGTTGAGGTTGACGATTGGGTTGATGCTAAAAATTCTGACCTTCGCACAAGGAAGTCCGATCGCTACTTTCAATAGACTGAGCACAAGTTTTCGAGACAGTGCTACCCAGTAAAATGTAGTACAAGCTACCTGTAGTGCATCCCTGAAAAAGAAAACTCACCTTTAAGAATTTTTCTTCAACTTTACTTGAATCTGGATTTTCTTCAACTACGTAGAATTTTGCTTGTGATAAATGTGTATATGCTGCTGGTTGTGGAATTCAAGATACGTCTTTGCGCCTAGGCGGTCCAGAAAGGAATGACGGTTGGGGACTTGAACTGCGAAATTCAGAAATGGGTAATGATTTCATTGGACAGTTTAACCTAGATTGTCTTCATTGCATTTTAATTATACAACCTGTTATCGTTCATCTCATCTAGGCTACAGAACTGGTGGTGGGGGGCATAATAAAGGTTATGCAATCACTACCTCTTCACTCTCCCTTTTTGCATCTGAATGATAAACAATGGACAAGTAGTAGTCCACTTGACTGACCGACAACGGCTACCAGTTGTACATGAGATGGTCACCAAGTAAACAATAACTTTCGTGAAAAATATCCGATCGTACCGAATTTTAGCCATACAAAGCCACTCGGTAAATTTGAATTAAAACAATGAAAAGAACCATACACATACGGCTTTTCAATTATGGGGCGAACAATGTCAAAATGCATGAGAAAAATGGGAAATTTTAATTATTTATGAAGTTAATTAAATACGTAATCCGACAATGCTGATTTTGAAAGAAACCTGACTTTCTACCAAATAAGTCAGCCAGTAAATTTGAAATAAAGAATGGTCTGGCACTTACGGGCAAACGCTACCAGAATGTACGCGATGAATGGGTAACCATCGTAATTTGCCGCAGTTTGCAACATTCAAGAATACATCCGAATACCTTTGAAGAGATAACAATTAACTCTTCATATAAGATTCAAAATTCCACCATAAATACATTGTAAACAACAAATAGAAATATAATAAATTCCGTTTTACCACCAAAACGGCAGTAATCGCGATTATTGTGAAATCTGGCCCTTCCAACAGACCACGTGGACCTTCACACTTGGCTATCCTCCGTAATCTTAAAGAGATTATATATATTAAAATGCACACTTAAAAAAGGAACATCGTCTTTTACCCTTAAAGAAAATCCTTTTTATCGCACTTTTTCCGTCTAAGTTAAGAGCTGTTATAACTTACCTATCTTATGCTACTTAAACCGAAACGTGAATTAACTGTTGGCCATTTTTCTCTTTCCAATTTTCTCCTACTATATTTTCTTGGGTGTGTATTTATAACCCTTTATCATGTATTATAAAAACGTCGACTTATGAGTAGCTGTTTTCAAAAAATGATTAATAATTACTTATATTAGAATCATTAACGGGAAATGTTCCCGCTAGAGGGCAGCTAAGACTGGCAACAGCGCACTCAACAGCGCCTGATAAATAAAATATTTGTGGGAATTTGACATGGTACATCGAAAATATAAAGTGATGAGAACTCCCTTCCCCTCCCCCCCCAAAAAAAAAGAAAAGGTAAATAAAAAATCGGCAAACGTCCCTGTGGCCCATATAAAGTGTTAAATACCACGTCCTAGCTCATCCTGACACATTCATCCTCGTTATCGCAACACACATGACGTCATAATATGAGCAGATGAATCAACGGGAAAGGGAATGGCCGAAGTCAACTCATTTTTCTCCGTTCGATTTTAGTTTTACTGCGAGACGAAATACGTTTAAAGACTTTTTGTACTCTTATATACATGTGGATCACATAGAACAACTAAACTAAAGAAGAATCCGAAGTTATATACCGTGAAATGAAGACCGCAACCCAGATAAGCGCCAGAGCCAGCTGTTTGTTGACAATGACATACGTCACTTTGGTGCTAAGTGTGCGAGCGGGTAAGTTTGAATTTCATTTCAGCGATAGCTAGATCTAATGTCAGTAATAGTTCTGAGGGCTGGCCCAGCCAAATCTTCCAGAAGTATATTCCACGCCTCAAATGATAACTTCCCGACCAGTCTCAGGGGGTAATAAGTGTCATTACTGGAAGTTTTACTTCAAATTCAATATAACACATGTTAAAATTTATGAGTATGACCAATAATTTTAACATTTGACTCTAACATTGTATTGTAATAGTTAAATTGATAGTGACTTTGAAATATCCCAGTTCTTTTAAAAATCATTTGAGATGAATGGACGAACTGAAGCCCTATGTGTGTTTTCATAATAACTTTTAATTTATTAAAAGTTTGTAGTATTTATTAATTTGTTAATCCTCACAGGAGCACAGTAATTAAATCTCAGCTCAATTCAACCAGTCGAGGGACAATGTGTGTGTGTGGGGGGGGGGCATGTGAGAAGCGGATAGACCATTAAAAGATTAGCGGTCTTCCTTTCATGTAGGTCCGCCATATTTAGGTCACAGCCTTACTAGACCTCGGCTCTTCTCGATGTGAATGCTCCCTATAATAGATTTGCGATTGGTTCCAGCTAGTGTTCTTACAACACAACAATAGCAAATGTTTTTTGTCTTTTTTCTTTTTAAATGATATCTATATATATATATTTTTCAATTATTAATTGTCACTATTATTTATCATTATTTGATTTTAGGGGTTGGTATGCCAACAACAATTCCCCAATTAGTGAACAACCAAGTAGAACACACACTGTTGGGTATGAGTACTTCCACTGTAAGCTACGGCCCAATACCACCAATACAAGACACAGGAACATCTGCTGAAGCTCTTACACTTCAAACAGAGCCCAGTTCTTATAATTACCAAGCTGAATTCCACAAACTGGTAGGAGCAATCAATTCCTTGGTTAGAAATGCTACTGACTGGATTAAATCTGCCTCACAGCAGCTATACCAGTGGGGCATTAGTAGTGAAAAGAAAGTGGCTTGGAAATATGTGTTGCCAGTGGACAGTATTTCCAGAAAAACATTTAAACTTGTAAGGAATGAGCCTTTACCACTGAAATTTAGAGGTAAGATTTCTAGTTGACCCTCTATCAGTAGTCTGTAATGAAATCTGTTTTACTAAGTAGGAAAACTATGTGCAGTGTTGGGCATTAACTTTTATGACCACTTGTCCTCGCTGGTATTTTGGCTTTTCTTAACTCTCAGTCATGTTAAATGCGTTGGTATACGGAATACAAACCCTATCTAAAATGTGTACAGCTGTCATGTGATCATTTGTAATGAAAAGCATAAGACTGGTTGAAGGACAACCTTCTTGACCATGAGCATATATTACAAATAATATTTAATGCAGTGCTACTCTCTTTATTATTTCCAAACATGAAATTAAGTCAGAATATTTCATATAGTTTATCGTATTCTTTATTAATATTTTATTTATTCATTCATTTATTTGTTATTATTATTATAAATTTTTCGTTTGTTTGTTGCATATTATTATATGATACTGACATGGCTATGATATATTTACTTAAGGCCTCTCGCCAAATATTTGTACCTCTATGAAATAATTTAAATACTAACATGGCTGAGTTATTTTTATTTATGGCTTTTCTTGAAATAACTTGTATTATAGACAAATGTTTAATTTCTTATAAAACGTTTCAGGATTTGGTTTGCTTACAGAAACTTCTAACAGCCCAGACAACCAGATAATGAGCACCAGACTTGGCGTGGGCACTTCCACAATGAATTATGGCTTTGCATCTGAAAGTGCCCATGGGGATGATTTGTCTCTTGATGAGATAGTTGGTGCGTTTAAAGAAGAGATCCAAAAACTGGTAGGAGACATTGATTCTTATGTAAAAAATTTCACAATCTGGATAAAAACAGGTGCACAAAACTTTTCCTATTGGGCTTCACAGGAGAGTGCTAAACCACTCAATGGCACAGTAAGGAAAAGAGTGAAAAAACATGCTTTGGCATTACCTAAACCAACTACACCTCCTGTCTGGAAGAGGGTAAGGCTTCCCAGGTTGACTGAAACATCTGTAGTTGAGGAGATCAAAATGCCACCAGTAGCACCTAGAGGTAGGCTATGAATTTAGTTGTCACTATACATTGAATGCTAGTTTTTCAAACATGCTTTTACTTTTCTTTTAGTCTTTATTAATGTTTCATGTTTTTATGTGCTAACTCTGTACTGGGCTCAGAATGCATAAATATCTTGTTTTTTATCAACCAGTTTCTTTCTTTCTTTCTTTCTTTCTTTCTTTCTTTCTTTCTTTCTTTCTTTCTTTCTTTCTTCCTTCCTTCCTTCCTTCCTTTCTTTTTGTTTCTTGTTTATTTTAGTTTTGATGCCTCCAAAGATTGGGATGGCAGTGGATAGCCGACTGCTTGGTTCTGCTCATCTTTATGTTCCACCTCCATCCTTTGTATCATATAGTTACAAGATCCATTTAATACTGGGTGTTGTTGTGGTGTTTTTTATCTCCTGTTTTGCAGCTCTTTTTGTTGGGAGGAAGGGAAAAGTATTCATTTTATCTTATATTTTTATTCGTTACATTCTTATGATCTGTTAGTAAATTCAGGTGACCTTCAAATATGCTTTTTGAGTCAATATTATAATTGCAGTGCTTGAAAAATATCACTTTTTTTGTAGAGAATCTTGCATTTACATGTAGTTTAAAGGGATATTTAGTCAGCAATAGAATTTGGTTTATCAATGAACATAGACTTTCATGGTGATGACCAAAGTCTTATCTTTTAACTGATGATGACTATGTACATATTTTCAGTCCAAGATCATCCCTGGCCCATATGTGTTGGATGGCTTTTATGCATACATTATAACATTGAGGACAAGTTTTAAACGACGTATGTGTATATTAATTAATGCCAAAATTCATTATACTTTAAATATTGATTGAAAAATAATTTAACATGTTGTTTGTATATTTAAGAAAGAAATACATTAAACAGCAGATAGCTCTGATGAGAATTTATGAAGTTAATTTCTGGTTAAATTTAGATATAATAGTTATTTCTTCCATTAACTAGATGCTGGGACTAATGGTAAAATTAAGATACAACTGTTTTCTAACAGTTCATCATCACCAGAATATGTATTGCCAAGGAGCAAAAAGAAGGTTCTTTCTCGTGGAAAGGAGGCTATGCTCCTTGTTTACACCAAAGGTTTGATTAAAATACAGATTGTTAAACAGCTTATAGAATACCAATATATTAGACTTCACTTTATTTATGCTTTCAAAATACCATTTTCAAATTTAATTTTCTGATTAAAAATAAAAATTCTTTAGCATTTGAAGTTTTCCATAAAGGCATATTTAATTGGTATATTTCTTAATTTTGCCCTTGTGAGCCTGCCTGTTGTACGTTGTATTTTTTTATTTATTTGGCAATATGCAAACCAACATAATATAACTGATATGTTATTCTTTAACAGTCCACAGCGTGAAGCATTTTTCCTTTTTTTTCCAGCTCCCCTTGGAGAACTTACACATGTCCTTGTAACTTTGAATGGATATGGTGTTAAGGCAAAATGGTAAATATCACAAAATACCATTACTGTTTCATTTTTAGATGAGGTTAAAGTGTTAATGCTTCATAAATGAAAAGTTGAAATATAATCTAAAGGATACTATCAAACATTCATAATTAACAATTACTGTTTTTAAGGCATTTGACTGATCTGACTGTGTCTGACCCTTGGGCTGACAGAGAGTGGTATTTTGCTAATGATAAGTGGCTAAAACCCAAGCATAATGGTGCTGCTCAAACCCATACCCTTCCTTTAACTGATGTTAGCAATGCTTACAAGTGAGTAGCAAAGGAACACACTTAAAAATGTTTAATCCAATTTTTCCAGATATTTTTTTATAATTATTGTTTGAACTTGATGTGTCTTGAATATTAATTACCTTGGCAAACCATATCAAATACATGCATGTATCTCATAATAACTGCCAGTCAAGTAGATCTGTGTTATTCATATTTTTACAGCTAATCTATATTTGTTTTAGCTTAATGTGGAGTAATCTGCATAGGATAGTCATGAGGTACCACACATGGATTTATCCTGTGTTTGGTGGTGGGCAAGAGCATGCTGAGGTGCTTTCCAGACCAGCCACTGTTTTGCTCCTCTTTTCAACTGTTGGAAACTTCCTTCTTGGAAATGTACTGATGGAGACAGCACTCAAGACAGTTGGCAGTCACCAAGTTGCCTTACATTTCTCAGCCAATACTCTCCTCATCACATTTGTTGTGAATGCTGCCATCTGTGTTGCCAATTGTGTCTGTGAAATATTCCTTGGAAATATAAAATCAAAGAAATTGTGCACTGACATTTGTGATAGAGTATCCGCATTTCAAGCGCATCAAGGTAAATATAAAAGTGTACATATATGTCACTGTGATTTGGAGAAGTTTTAAAATCCTGATTATAAATGTACATGAAACTTGTATGTACAAGTGCTTTGGTGATTTGCTGGCATGGATGACATTTTTTATTGTTTGAAATTACAAAAGGCAATATATTATTGCTATTTATAGTCAAATGTGAAAAATTGTAAGTAAAATATGACTGTGATGATGACCTCGATGTGAGCACTTCTTTGATTCCAGAAAAACCACGAGCAACAGAAAAGAATCATTTGCAAGCCAAAGATAGCAGCATAGATCTTGCACACAGCAACTTTTATGATAATAAACTACTATTCTCTCAAGATAATGCTGGATGCTATGTACTTCATGAGGATGAGGAAAATTTAGAGAGAATCCCAAGCACCAAATCCCTATGCAACATTGCAAGGTATCTTTAATTATACATTTATGTAATGTCAAGTCTTATATGTATTAAGAAACAGTCTGAAATGTTCCTTATAAATGCTAGTGTTGGTAGAATTAATAATGTGATCACGATAATGGCTTTTCAAATCTCATTCCAGAGAGAGCACCCAAGCTAGCAGTGGGAAACGTCGTTACACCATGTTTGCAACTACACATGCTCTCAAGTTGTCCAAAACAGAAATGATAAGGAAGAAGCTCAACTTACAACGCTTGAGCCGAATTGATGTAGAAACATCTGATTTGCCATTGCAAAGGTACAGTTGCTGCAATTTCAAAATACTGTTTTTAAAGAAAGTATATCCACTGTAGTATTTCAGCTCTTTCAAGAGAATGGGTCAAAATTACAATTTTCACTTCATAACTTTTTGTGAAACGCTGTATTTTTTAAATATTCACAGTTAAACAAAGGCAACAATTATGCTAAGCTATGGCTTAATTGGGGGATTTTCAGTCAAGCTGCTGTTATTTTAATAATATCAGTTTAAAGCATATGCCTTACTTATATTACAGATCCAAATCAGACACTGCTGTAAGGCGACATTGTCTCCTCTGCCAGAAGGTAATGGAAGATCCATATCCCATCCACTGGTATTGCAAATATCAGAAGGCTGTACAGCTAGGATGGGCATCAGCTCCTGCTAATGGCCCAGAAGCCACTGTTTACGACACAGCTGATGCTCTATGTGATTACATGGGTGTACCAAGGTTGGCAAAGAAGAATAAAATTGAGCCCAATGATCATGTAGATGAGGACCACCAAGATGCTTACTTTCCTGATGTAAAACTGACAGACCTACCTCAACAAGAACAACAAATTTGGATCAGCAAGCTCCTTCAGATCAATCCCTTGTGGGCAGCAAAAATCAGCTCATTGGAGGCAGGTAAAGGAGAGCCTGCAAGCATTAATACGACTACAGAGGAAATGCCGTGTGAGATGCAGTTGCCAGCAACAAATATGAAATCAGAGCTAGCAACAGCAATTTTATCTTTGACAATATTTAAGGCCCCAAGCACAGAAAGGGAAATTAACCCAGAAGACAACGTTAACGTGGAGATAAGCTTGACCTTGGGGAACACTGAGAAGAGAGCTGCTGAGTTCCTGAATGAGTTAATTGGTGACATGGTCAATATGCTAATAAAAGGCAAGACCTCTGCAGAAGACAGGGTTCTAGGGTGGCAAACAAAAGTATTTGAGTTCATGACAACTTACCAGAAGGTCCACCTTCAGAATAAGAGAAAATCTACAGAAGAGGGAGGTGAAGGCAAAGACATGCCCCAGAACGAAGAACCAGATAAGCATGCACCAAAGCTGTCTCTTACTGAGAAGCGGAACAGATCTGTGTTTGACACAAAGGGATTTGATACTGTTGTAAGAAGATTGAGTCAGGAAATGACAATGAAGACCATTACAGAAGACCTATCTGATCATGAAAATGAATGGGAGGATGATTTGAGTGGCAGGCTGCAACTGAATATAACTGGAGAGTACATAAGACAGAAGGACATCAAGACACGTATAGAGGCAGTTGCGCAAACTGGTGAGTCACTTTTTGCCCTGGACTGGCAGCCTGTGGAGGAAAAGCTTGACAATGTCTGTGAGCCACAGAGTGTCATGCAACAGATTGGATTGCACACTGGAAAACTTGCTCCAGATCTCAAACCTCTGCAGAGGAAATCTGGCTATGTGTGTGGCCGTAGTCTCACACACCTGTCTGCATCAGCGTCTGTGAACCACCTCAAAGAAGTTGTTCCAATGATGCAAGCAATGTCAAAGACAAGACAAAATGCATCTCTGGCAAACTTGACAGCATCAGAAGATACAACTCAGAGTAATGTTCAGAATATGGTTGCTGGCACCAGACCTCATTTATTGTTAGGTGAATTGATGTCCAAAATAATAGCTAATGACCCAGATGTTGGTTTGAATGTTTTCAAGATGCTTCCAATCATACCAGTTGACATTACAGCTGAGTCATTGAAGGATTTGGCCCAAGGTACCGCCCATGGTCTTTTAGCATCATTTGAAGATATGTGTGACATTGCCACTGAAGTCAGCCAGATGGCAATGGAAGAGTTTTCAAATAAATTGGTTGAGAGTCTTCTGCAGGTGATCTCCACCAAGTTGGATGCTGACAAACAGTGTAGTCAGAGCCCTTCCACATGCCTGATGACAGTAAGTTTTGCCTTTTTTCAAAGATATTTTTAAACCAAATGCATGTCAAGTTAAGCAGACAGTCTCTGAGTGAGTGGATATATGAGCTCTGGCCATTTAAATTATTGTAATTTTAGATCAGAATGGGAGATTCTTTATGTTGCTAATAAGGTTGAATCCTTTATCATTTCTAGAATGAAGAGACTGAGAGCCAACAACCAGGACAATGCTTTCACCATGACATTCCATCAACACATACAATCATTGGTCAGGTGCAGCAGCTAATGGAGAAAGAAATGATTGAGATCAGAAATGACGAGAATCAAATGATAACAGAGGTAAAGCACACCAAGTCATCAAGAAAAAAAGGGAGTAGATCATTCATGAAGCCTCACATGAGGAGAAAAGACTAATACTCTATTTAGAATGCAGAATGAAGTTGAAGACAGAATAATATGTCAGCATCTTTTAATAACCATTTTGCTTTCATTGTGTGAACCTTTGTGTGTGTTTTGCTTTTTATATAAGCTTTTTTCAATTATTGCAGGCGTTTACCTACCATTACCTGGATGCACTGATTTTTAATGCCATCATTAGAGCTCAGTATGCCATTTTACACCAAAGCGATAGGGAAATTCAGGATCAAGAGTGCCAGGATAAAGAACAAGCTATTAAATTTGCCCAGGATCTTCTGCATAAGGATGTCGATGCATTTTATAATGACAAGTGAGCCTTTTGTTTTCTTTAAAAACGTCAATGTCATAATAAAAGTTCAATTATATATACAGTTATTTCTATTGAAATCAATTTAAGAACTACAGAAGGGAAATAGCAAATTTGAATACTAAATAACAACTGGATTTTTCAGCTGGGAAGCATGCAAGCAGACAGTCCAGCTAGGCCTCTTGGCTCTTAACAAACAGGGGGATGTGTTTGTAAAGGAACAAGAATTAAAGGAATCAATCCTGGATAATGCTAAGACAATCGCCCAAAATGTTGCTGCTCTTGTGATGAAGGTAAAGACTATGTGCATTTTGGTTAATATTGAACATGTGAATTTATTCAGACTATTTCTTTTAAATCTACTTGATGAAAACAAAAAAAGTTTGGTGATTTGACAGAGTCATAATACTCTAACATCACTAACTTCTAAAAATCTTTGAATTGTATAAGTTCCAACATTACTTTTATGTTTGTTCAGCCCTGTAAACAAATTATTTAGTAAATATAAGATATTTTGCACCTCTTATAATACAGAAAGCCATCCAGGAAGTCAAACTGAAGACAGCATCAGAAGCAATTCTCCAGGAAGTGCTATCAAATGCTGCCTTGGTGTTGGAGGTGCAGTTTAAAGATGGTTTTTCAGAAGGGGGGAGGACTCAAAGTACAGATGCAAAATATGACATCACTTGATTTTAGACTTTTTTTTGTAAATACATGACTTTTTGCCAGTTGACAAAATTTTAATTTTAATATTTATAATTGAAAGGGAAAAGATGATATCACATATAACAGCATATGTAACAGTACTATATACACATCTATTACTTCAGAATGCAAATGCAGCTTCCAGACAAGAACTTCCCAGAGTGGTGTCTGCAGATCTGGTGCAAATCAAAGATGGTAGGTACACTAGGGCAGGGCTTGGGCATAGAGAATTTCCACTCAATAATCATTACAATTTGCACAGTAAATTGGTATATATTATGTCAAAGATTGATATACATTATAATTATGTAATGTGATTAATTCTTAATACAGTACTGTTATTTATGAACTTCAGATAAAGAACAGGTTGTACAAATGCAAGAGTTACCTATCAAAGAACATGAGCCTCCGAATGAGGTAAGAATCATTGTCAATTCTTTATACAATAAAAGTGATTTGAATAAAAAAAAACATAACTTATTTGAAAAATACTATTTGACCATTTTGAGAATTATGACTGTTTGCGGCAAAATAAAACTGTACAATATCGTACTGTAGTTGACTGGAATAATCAAGCAAAATTCACAGTTGTAACACAGGAATCACACTATGGCAAACAAAATTACTCCTTCAGATATTGAAAAATGGTCAGTGAAATAGATAATTACTGCTTTGGTTCTTTTAATTTTTTCAGAATGTGACACCAGCCTCTTCAAATGAGTCAGTTGTTTCCTCCGTTGGATTGGGGGATATCATGACAGTTCGTGAAGGTAAGCAGCAACAGCATTGATTTCATGTAAAGCATTGCAAATTGAATACCACTGGGCTGTTTATTATCATATTATCAGGAGATTAACGTATTACAACTATGGCTAAGCACTTATCTAATTCTCAAAAATGAAAGGTTTTTAAATGGGTGGGGAGGGCGCCACCCCCCTTCCCCGAATCTTTTTAAAAGACAAAAGGAGATACTGCATAAGATACAACAAAGACCCACAGATGCACTGCAGAATGACCCATATTATAATAGCAAAATATTTCCCTTAAAAGATAAGATAATTACGCCTCATCCCCTAATTGTGGAAATTGTTATTCTGCCAGTTATATAAAAGACTATATGCATGGGCCATTTGACTACAGCAAAAATTTGTCGGCTGGTAAGCCATGATATGTGTTTGTTTCAACTTTCAGAGCTCAAAGATTGCAGAAACTTGCTTAATGGTTTTAGAGATGTTGACCTCATGTCTTCAGAGAACAGAAGACTCCTTAATCTACCGAAGGCAAGCAGAAGCCTTGACTCTGTAGTCAGATCCCTGTCAGAGGCTAACAAGGCCATGCCGTGCAAGAAATTAAACACATCTTTGCCACAGGTAGATCGCTTTGAGGAAATCCACAGAAACAAAGCTTTCTTATCTACCTGTGAAATTGCTCCTTCCTTGCCATCAGGATCCAAAGATGTGGTTATTGACATTAAGATGAAACAAGGTACTAGCTATTTTGCCATAATTTGGAAAAGAATGATAATTATTGCTAGTAGTAGTTTTGATATTTTTATGTAGTTTGTTGCTCCTCATAAAGTGAACAGATTTGAAGCACAAGCACTCAGTGGACATTTATTTAAGAGCAGGACTCTCTTTGTTTTTATACTTTAAAATTCCTCATTTCAGAAGACGTTGCACTCGATGTCATTATTGATGTAGAAGAAGGTAATACTCTTTTTATTAATATTATTCCGTTTTTTCAGTCATCTATTAGTCAAGAAAGATAATGCTATTTGTTGAAAAGGTGACATTCTGTTACTCAATCCCATGTATGCTTCATTTCCCAGAGAGATAGCATCGAGTCATTCGGACTTGTGACATAAGGTCAATTGTTTTTCAGATGATGGAAATCGGATTTCAGAACAGCCAACTGAAGAACAAAGACCTTTAAACGATATGGAACTCCTACATGTAGAGATGATGGTAAAGGGAGAATTTAAGAAACTACTTCCACACTGGGTGAAATACATCATCTTTGCACTTTTGATTTGTTCCATTGCCGTGTCATTATTTTTCACTGACATTTATGCCATGTCATTTGAAGATGAAAATCTCAACCACTGGCTGCTACTGGTTGGTTTGGCCATGCTGGAGGATTTCATCGTTTTCCAACCAGTCAAATGCTTGTTTATTCACTTTTACTTCATGGTGTTCCCACAGCACAGAAATGTGATCAACAACCCAGTCTAACTGTATTACCTTGATTGGATCAATTATGTATCTTAATGTGAAAAACAATACATACCGTACAAAGGAATATGACTGACTTTGATGCGACTTCCTTATTATTTGGAACAATCAACCAAAAACAATAGAATATTTAAACTAAGATGTATGAAATGGGTTCCTTTAATTGCAAACTTTATCGAAAAAAATTTTCGATTTCTCACTATAGTTCAGTTTTTTAATTCAGCATCCCATGAACACTGCTGTTGATTTTGACTTTCAAAAAAAAGCTTTATATTTCATGTTTTGACTGCCATTATCAGGTTCTATTCTGCAGAAAAAAACTTCATAATTATGCAAAACAATTCAAACCTTTCATTTGGCTATAATGTGTAATAATAAAGGCTTTAGCATTCTTTTTTTTTTTTTTTCATCTTTTTTACTTTTCTTTCTATGCCATGTGTACCTTTCATTGAAAGACAATTGCCAAAACAATTCTGTCAAGAGTTTAGTGCCCTATTTTGGAAGTTATATATAAAAGGTAATGATTAAAGCTTGGTATACATATACAAAGACAAGTTTTCTAAAAAATCTTACACAATGATTGTTGCCTTTACGGTTGAGCAAAAGTGAAACAAATATCTTTTATAGCAAAATTAGTCCTTGTTTTAGGTCAAAATTAAATATCAATTTCTTCAGTAATTGTCCTGTGGCTAAATGGGTTCCTGTGACATTCACACTAGTCAAAATCCCTTCCATTCTGATGACTCACTCTTGCCACCTTATTAAAAAAATTGAACAAAGCCAAAATGTATCTTAAGTTTGTATTACCTAAAGAGTAGTTGGGAAGCAGAGCTAGCTCTCCTAGAAAGAGCCTTGCCAGTGGCTGTTGCAGCCTTTTTGGAGCAACTGTAATAGGTGATGACCCCACCTATAGCATGCCCTCTTAGACATGGCTTTAGCTGCTTTTTTGACCCTACAATTTGGACTGGCATTCCTTTAAGTTCTTCTTTAAGTATCAATGGTGATTTTGCACTTCTGTTAGGACCTTTTTGCTACCACGGTCAAGCCTGTTGATCAGCATGCTGTCATTCCACACTCCCAATTTGAGTCTCCGCAGCAAGTAAATATGGCCATTCTCCCAGAGCCCGTTTTCTAATATACGTTACTTGTTCCCCTTCTGTTCATAATGTTTTAACATATTTGTTCCATCCGGTCCTCCACCAAAATTTACAATTGTTATCGAATGAAGTATGTAAAAAATTCCAATGGGTAAATCTTTTGGGGACACCCCATATTTATGAAAAGATGCATTTGTACAGCCAAATTCTCATGATTAAAAGCATTTGAATTGTTTTGTTCTTTTATTTTCATATCTGTAAAAAGTCGCAGACTATTCTGTTCATACATTCTACTTCAAAACTAATGAAAGTGCATTATACAGCCTTCTATCAGATCTAGGTATCCATGTTTTGTACTTTCATGTCAAAGTTGTAAGTTCCTGGGGTTTGAAAAATGCTATTAATGTACCATCTTAGGAGATGGTGATGCTAGTGTTTCCCTTAGTTATTGTTTACTCGCCATTGACAAACATTAAGTAGATAACTACAGAGTATTTATTGAAGGTAATACCCCAAGACAGAAAACAAACCTTGTTGGGTATTGATTATGCCTAAAGTTACATAATGTTCCAAAACAAAGTTCTTTTCACAAAATATTCAAAAATTAAAATAGCAATTGGAGTAATGTTATCATCTACAAACATAAGTATCTAAAATATCTCCAATGTAAAAACTGAATCACATTACTATTTTGTTATACGAAAGTTAAATGTATAACACTTGAAAAAATACAACACCACATCATAAAACTTTAGTCATTGTGGTACATTCATTACTTGGTTCTTTAAAAAATATGTACATATACCAACACCTGCAAAACCTTGCATCTATCTGTAAATTGTACCTTTGTATCCCCAGGTGATGAAATGTGTACATAATATGAATATCAACATTTTAAGTTGACAATTTCAATTGGTAAATATAACTATTCTGTCTTTTATCCTAACAATGATGAGCCCTTATTTGTTAAAATGTAAACAAAATGTTTTTTTTTTTTCTATTCACAGAAAATAAACATACATGCCATTCATTAAAATTAGACTGGAAAGACTAAGCAGAGTATGAATGTCTGTATTCATTCTGATACATGTTAGCAAGTGTCCATGCAGTCAATTTCTTTTTTTCTTAGTAGCTGATGATGCAGTTCCTGTAATATTTCTCTTCCTGTTTTTCCNTCTTTTCTTTTCGAAGAATATTATTCATTTTTTCATTTATTCTTTAAATACAGTAAATAAAATTAAATAAAGCAGAATTAAATTTGTTTTACGTTTCATTTTGGTCTAATGACATTCAACTGCAGTTTCACTGCGGAGCAGTTCTATTTGATTGACGGAAGCCTAACATGGCCACTGGTCTTCAGAGCTAGTAAAAATGACTCCAAGGTATATTTAATATTTACAAGCTAATTTTTTCGTTGCTCTGACACTCGGGATAGTTCCATCCGGTCCTCCACCAAAATTAACAATTGTTATCAAATGAAGTATGTATAGAATTCCAATGGGTAAATCTTTTGGGGATGCCCCATATTTATGAAAAGATGCATTTGTACAGCCAAATTCTCATGATTAAAAGCTTTTGAATTGTTTTGTTCTTTTATTTTCATATCTGTAAAAAGTCGCAGACTATTCTGTTCATACATTCTACTTCAAAACTAATGAAAGTGCATTATACAGCCTTCTATCAGATCTAGGTATCCACATTTTGTACTTTCATGTCAAAGTTGTAAGTTCCTGGGGTTTCATAAATGCTGTAATGTACCATCTTAGGAGATGGTGATGCTAGTGTTTCCCTTAGTTATTGTTTACTCGCCATTGACAAACATTAAGTAGATAACTACAGAGTATTTATTGAAGGTAATACCTCAAGATAGAAAACAAACCTTGTTGGGTATTGATTATGCCTAAAGTTACATAATGTTCCAAAACAAAGTTCTTTTTACAAAATATTCAAAAATTAAAATAGCAATTGGAGTAATGTTATTATCTACAAAAATAAGTATCTAAAATATCTCCAATGTAAAAACTGAATCACATTACTATTTTGTTATACGAAACCAGAAGTTAAATGTATAACACTTGAAAAAATACAACTCCACATCATAAAACTTTAGTCATTATGGTACATTCATTACTTGGTTCTTTAAAAAATATGTACATATACCAACACCTGCAAAACCTTGCATCTATCTGTAAATTGTACCTTTGTATCCCCAGGTGATGAAATGTGTACATAATATGAATATCAACATTTTAACAGTTGACAGTTTCAATTGGTAAATATAACTATTCTGTCTTTTATCCTAACAATAACGAGCCCTTATTTTTTAAAATGTAAACAAAATGTTTTTTTTTCTATTCACAGAAAATAAACATACATGCCATTCATTAAAATTTGACTGAAAAGACTAAGCAGAGTACGAATGTCTGTATTCATTCTGATACATGTTAGCAAGTGTCCATGCAGTTAATTTCTTTTTTTCTTAGTAGCTGATGATGCAGTTCCAGTAATATTTCTCTTCCTGTTTTTCCCACCATCTGAGATCTCTGGTTTTATGGCAAATGTGAGACATAATTAAGGCAAAATGCTGATGACAAACTTCTAAATATATTTCCAGTATTTAAATAAATCAATTTGCACTTCATATCTTTTTAATCCACAATATTTGTTTACAGTATTCAATGAATTATCAAATGTTAAATTAACCTTACTGGTTTGTGTGGACAGTTGCTGAGAAGAGAAGAATGTTCTAATAATTTACAGCAGAATCACTAAGAAATTCATCCAAAAGAAGCATTAAATACAATAAAAGGATATGAATCGACGTCAATCTTCTGCTGTAGAAGGCCAGTCAGAAGAAACTCTGGGCTTACACAAGGGATTCCCATATCACTAACGGCTTTGAAGTTCTTTGTTTCTTCATTCTCCCCAACTATGACAAAAATGTTATCCCCCACTTTCTTTGGCATTGTGGCCAAATACTGCCCTCCTGCACACTTGACTATCTCTGGAAAAGGAAAACTGCTAGGTTAATAATTTTACTTCAATTACCCTCTGATGAGATATTTACTTGATTGTTGTTTTTGACATGCAGTTACATGTCAAACAGATAGACAAGGTGTTCATACCATGCTGACCTATAATTACAATCATGAATGCTCCAAGCATAAACTTTTTTTTACATCACTTTAGCAACTAGACTATAAATATCAGTAAATAGTAAAATGTTACTTTTTTGCCACCACTATTACAGGTGTTTTTGTTTTGTATTTGCATAATTAAACCTGTATTATCTGACAACATTGTAGCATTTACGAACTTGCAAGTTCATACACAGTAGACGTAGAGAAGACCCAGACACTGTGGTAAAAGTCAGATACATCACTCCTCAGCAAGGTTCACATGGCATCCTCTAGTTTTTAAACTGGTAACAATTACATGCATTTCACTGACTTGAGGTATCTCTATCACTTATTCTGAGATAAGAAACAAAATAGGATCATGTTTTTCTTCTTTATCTCTGCATTCCATACCTTTGATATCAGCAGGTGGCGGTGCTGTTGACTTAGTTGCATGAATCTTACACCCAGTCAATAAAGGACGCATGGCAGCTTTCTGAATGGAATCCCTAAGGTTGAACTTAAACTTCTGTTCTGCTGCTCCATCCTTTACCAGAAAAGGGTGGGCATCTGAAAGACAGCATCAATGGGATTCAAATAAAGGAAAATTTTATAGGGCAGCCATTTTCCAAACAAATTTCATGTTTAAATTTGTAATATTCAGATAAATGTCTACTGCTTACTTTCAACTGTCAGCTAACTTTATTTAGCAGCTCTGCATAGTTCAGAATTATTCAGAACCTTATTGCCATGTCACCATTATAGAGTCCATTTACCAATAAATGTATGTGCATCTTTGCATCTGTCAATCCACTCAATGGACACAATGGGGATCCCTCTGCCCAAGGCACACAAGAATTTCAGTGTTCTTCTTACCTATCAATAATATTGTTTCTATAATGGCATAAGAACATATTTGCCCCCCAAATTTCTTTAAATCTCAAGATACCCCCCTCCCCAATTATGACATATCATGACCAAAATGACTTCTCAAATTACTGCATTTTTGGGCATTTAAAAAATTAAAATTTAACTGCTTGCAGTTTTTTTAGTAGGCTGCATGTCATAGAAAATTTAAATATGTATATCTGCAAGCATTTCTTGGAACTTGTCTACAACCAACCATTTTCAAGACTGACCTACTGAATTTGTATGAAGTTAGTCACCACTCCTCAACTGTCACAGTTAACTGTAATCTTTTATAAAATCATGAATAAGACACAACTTACTTTGTCTGTGACAAGGTGTGTGCAATCCTGAATGGAATGGACTAACTCCCCACCAAGGTTTTTGATAGTCTAAAATAGAAATCTTATCATATTGGACACAGATTTTTTATTCCTTGTCGCTTAAATGTAGCAGTCTCTTCAAACTAGATGGCTCACATAATTTTTCTTATCTTTATCAGAAAAACCACAGAATAAGAATAAAAGATTACTAAAAAAAAGAAATAACAATACTGAACTCACCTTACTTCCATCTTCATCAAGCACTCCAGTAAACATAATCTTTGGCTTGGTAAATGTTCTATGTCTGAGACTGGGAGATTCAATGGTCTGGGAGGTATCATGCTCTCTAGCTGGCGTTCCAAGGGAAGTTCTTTTGTTTCTTTTAGAACCAGTATCTCGGGAATCATTCTTAGAAAGGCAAAATTTGAGTATACTGTAATTTTGTGAATCTAGTAAGTTGATTTAAAAACAACCCCAAACAAAGTGTCAAAGCTGTGGATAATAAATACAGTGTTTAATACTGGACAATCTTATTTCTTAAAAATAATCAAATTCAATATATTAATGAGGCAAAGATCAGAAGAAGCCTCGCCTGTTTCACTAATATTCAAGATATTTAGTGGCCCACGTCATAAGTTTTTCACTTACACTTGACTGACTGTCAGAGGACAGGTCTCTTTTCTTCCTGCCAACTCTCTCTGGTTCAATCAAAATTGATTCTTCTGATTTATTCCGGGCTGAGGCCCTTTGCCCCCTTGTAGTTTGCACTGGAATCTCTTCAGGTTTGACAAAGCCCTCTTTTTTCTGTTCTACCTTGGCAGACGCCTGCCTGCTACGGGCACTTCTAGTAGCTGCTGGGGTTTCATCATTTACTGCAGGTTCAATAGTCATATTATCTCTACCTGCTGATTTTTGTTTTGTCCTACTTTTTCTCACCGTTTTTGATGTTTGATTTTCTGTAATATGGGTGTCCCTCTTGTTAGGAGAAGGCCCTTTCAACTGTTCATCTTTGTTCTCTTCTGAAACATTTATACTGGCTACACAGCTTTGTCTTTGTCTCTTGTTCCTGCCTCCTGTCCTTGTTGATGTCTCAGGTGCTGCAATACTAATAGATGTCAGTTTACTCTCACTTTCTTTTTGTTTTATATCTGCAGCCTTCTTTGGCCTCTCTGCTGAATCATTTTCTTGCTTCTCCTTGCTAGAATGACCCCTACTGGATCTTCTTACAGAAGATGATAGTTCATCAGACACCTCTGAAGCATTGTCTGTTCTATCTGAATCTTGTTCATCTGTATTTCTGTTTGTCCCCAAGCTTCTTGATCTTCTGGTACTTGACTGAGGCTTTTCCACATGGTCTGCTTTTTCCACCTTACTTTTCTGTTCTTTCTGTTTTACTGCTGTCCTGCTTTGGGCCCCTCTGGTTCTAGTTGGAAGCTCCGTTTCTGAATTTGTTCCACTTCTTGCCACTACTTCATCATTCTGTTGAGATCTTAAGGCCTTTGTTTTTGACTTAGAACTATGGAGATCTTCCAAATTCTTGTTTTCATTTTCAGTCTGAATTGGGGATGCTAAACTTCTTTTACCTCTATTTTTTCTCCCTTTAGATGTATTGCCGTCTTCTGCATTTCCTTTACTATTGTTCTCCTCTCCATCAGTCTCATCCTTGAAAGTTAAACTTTTCTTACCTCCTGTTTTCTTTTCTAATTGTTTAACATTTTGTTCTGAATTTAATGTTTTGTCCTCCTCTTCAACTATGGGCTGCTTCTTAAATGTGAGACTTTTTCTAACTCTAGATTTCTTTCCATCTGTCAAATTAGCTTCTTCTGAATTTCTTTCCTTATTTGGTTGAATACCACTCCTTCTTGTTCTAGAACTTCTGACTTTGGACTCAGAAGCCTTTTCTTTAGAAACCTGTGTTACATACTCTGTTTTTGGACCACCTTTTTCCACTGCAATTTGGGCTAAGTCCTCATCCACATCAGTCTGTAAAGAACTTTCGTTTTTGTGTTCTTTTGAGTAATCACTTGATAAATTCGCATTTTGTTCAAAATCACTCTTTCCAACACTCTTTCTCCCAGGGTTAACCCTGCTTTTTCCTTGAATTTCTGTTTCTTCATTTGGTTGAACTGATTTCAAAGTTACCTTATCTTGCTTTCCTTTGACATTTACTTGAGATGTACATATTTCCGTTCCAGCATCAGCCTCTTTTCTGTTACGAACACTTGATCTTTTTTCCCTTCCACTATTTTTTTGAGTAATTGAGACATCATTACTATCAAATGGCTTTTTCTTAATCTTTTGTCTGGTACTTTTTCTTCTTCCTGGTTGTTCACTCCCCTCTGATGTACTTTCATCCTCTTCCAGTTTATTTAATGGGGACTTAGACCTTCTTCCTTGACTTCTTCCTTCAACAGAAGCTGCTGAACACCTAACTGATTCCTGAACTGCAATAACTGGGGACATAAAATCAGACTCCTCTTTTGTCTCATCTAGATCATTTGATGAGGATTCTCCCTTTAATGGGGTTTGCATATCTTTCTCTGCAACTCCCTCAGGTTTTGAAACAGACTCTGAAAACGAGGAGGCTATGTTTTAATCAGCATTAGAATGTCTGCCCGAGGGTCCGTTTGTCAGTGGGCAATAAATCTCAAAAAGTTTTTGCACAAATTTTGATGACATTTTCCAGACAGATAGTTACAAGCTCATGAAGGAAAAAGTGATTATAATTTCAACTGAATCTCATTCTCCTCATAGATTAATTTAACAATTTCTATTGCCTAGATGGAGCTTAACACTTGGGAGTGCTCTTTACATACCTATTTTGTTTTTTTCTCCATGCAGTGAATTGTTGATGGGTATTGGGATAATAGGATGGAGGAGCGTCTCATCATCAGATTCATCACTTTCAGGAATCTTCTAAAAATGCAAAAAAGTGAAACAAAAGTTTTTGTTTAAGATAAATTTCCATTGAATGTTTTAGTTGGTTTATAAGTAGCAGCATGTAAATTACACTTGTAAGCAAAGAAATTATCTTAACTGTGACAACTATACAATTCTAATATATATTCAATGCAACTGTGTAAATGATTGATGTTTTAACATAAAAATCTTCACATTAAACATGATTTGGTGTTCAGTAAACTATCATAAGACTGGAAAGAAAGCATGAAAGAGGCTCAGAATACTTTATGCCATGTAGCAGCCAATGTCCATGTTATGTAGCTTCACACAAAAATACACTAATTATGCTAAAGTGACTGCAGATAGGAAATACCTACTTCTTCTTGGAGTCCATATGCCTGAGTAGCTTCTAGCTCAACCCTCTTGATTTCATCTGACTTATCAGTCCCTTTTGCAAGATCATAACCCTGAATTTCTGCACAGCCATGATCCTGTGTTCCTTCTACTGTTATAGGTTGTGTAGAATCATCAGATTCGCTAGGATGTGAATCTTCTACTCCATAACTTTGTGTTGCCTCACTGGCGCCATACACTTGTGTGGGCTCTATATCTTCATAGGCAACAGTTTCTTCCAAAGAAGCATTGTCAGAAGTATTCCTGTCTGCACATACCTCATTTTTTTCAGGGGTGCCACTTACCAGAGAGGTTTTACCATTGGAATTTGTGCAACTTGTGTGTGTTCCTGTGTCCTTTATTTCATCAGATTTAGGTTGTAAGGTGATCCCATAAGCTTGGGTAGGTTCCAAAGCTTCAGCATCATCAACCTCGTATGGCTGCGTGGCATCTGCATCATCTGTGTAGCCATTTCCACTCATGGCAGAACTACCATTTAGATTCTTTTTTCCAAGAGGAAACACCTCAATATTACCCTCACCAACAACCTGAGTAGGTGAACATGCACTGTACTCTTGGGTTGCGCCAACAAAATATGGCTGTGTCTCACCAGTAGCCTCAGCATCATCGACCGGTTTTGAAGCCATTTTGGAGTAGATTTCAGGACTGTTACTATCTGCCAAAGTTGGTGCTGCCATGTCAGCAAATGCTTGAGTTTCTTGATTGCTGATTCCATCTTCGCCTGGACTCTGTGGTACTAGTCGGTTCAAAGCAGGCTTACCTGCAGCAGCACTGGAATGAACTGGACTTTTCTCAAAGCTGCTTGTTACTGCCAGGGTGCTAAAAGAGTTATCTGATTGGGCTGTTTCTTCTGAATGGTTGGTTTCTTCGAGTCTCATATGATCTTTTCCAATATTTGCACCATCTTTGTTATGATCTTGTGGGTAAAGTCTTTTCAGGGTTGGAGCACCTCTGGCTAGGTGTACCTGATCAGGACTTTTGACCGGGCTAGCAGACACAGGCAGGGTGCTGGCATCTGATTCTGTGCCTTCTTCTGTTGTGTACATTTGTGTAGGCTGTTCATCAAAGGAAACACTAAGCTTTTTCCCTTTACCTCTGTGCACTGAAACACTTCTATCATCACTTGAATCAGAGGTAAAAGAAGACATTCTGGTAGATTCTGCCTTTGCCTGAATTCCTTCCACAAAAGTTTGTGTGTTATCTACATCATAAACCATAGTAGGTTCATCATGGATATCCCTTCTTTTTGACGAACTTAAATCCTGACAAATGCTGTCTTTAACATCTTCCTCAAACAACTGAGTGGCACTGGGAGCTTTATGCACACTGACTAAGTCTTTCTTGTCCTCTCCATCAGGGAAAGCTTGCGTTGCTGCCTCAAATACATATGACCTGTTGTCATCTGATTCCTCTGTCAAAGATAAACAATAGGAGAATACCTGCTTCAGTTTTTTGGGTGTGACAGATCATTTAATGTCTGGGGATTCTTCTACACATTTAGATTGTACACGATTACATTGCATTACTTTACTCATACCTTAATTTGTATCACACAATTAGACAAACTTGTTGAAGTAGTAGCTGGCCTAATACTATTAAATTAAACTCTTAATATTAAATTATTTAAGGCTAGATTCAAATAAACCATTGAGAAAGCACTGTACATGTTAACAAAAAACAAAATTTTGTTCTGTATTTTGCAAAGCTTGTTAAATTTGCAAAAGTATCAGAAAAGCTGACATCACTATGACTGATGTCAGTTCAATAAAATTCTTTAAATATTGGGAAATAATGTAATCTAAAAAGGGTCTCACCATCTACATCACTCTCTTCTACAAATTCTGCACCAAACACTCCTGGTTGAGAGGCAGACTTCGAAATTTCCAACTCGGATTCTCCAACATCTGTAAACATTTCTTTAAAATCATAACAACTAAAACTTCTTGAATCAGAAAGATACATTACAAAGTATGATAGCATATGCTTTCTTACTTCTACCACTGAAAGATGCCATTGATAGCATGTGACTGAAAAAGATCAATAATCTTAAATACTTACATTCTTCATAGAGGAGCGTTTGCTGGATTTCCAAAGGTTTGTTTACCATGTTATCTTGAAAATATAAATGAAAACATTCCTTAAAATAAAAGGCATAATACAGTTTAGCAGTGCATAATTTCATCAAGCTCTATTAGGACTAGTGGTACACTATAAAGGGTGTTGTGAGGAATTATTAAAAAGATGTTTACCAGAATTTAATTCTTTCCCATATCTTTATATCCAAAAAGACTGAGAACTATTTTCTCTTCATACCTGGTTTACTGGCAAAAGGAGTTTCTGCAACTGCATTGTTGTTTCCTTGCAAAATTTTCATTTGATCTAAAAGTAAACAATAATGAATTATTCCACTAACTTGGTATATCAACTTGTCACAATTGATGCACTTCTGCTGTCACTCATATAAGAGTTGTTTATTTTGAATACATTTGTGCGTGTGTGTCACATAAGACATTTACTGACTCATTAATTCTGATAACTAACCTTTGCCATCCTCAGCATCACTTTGGTCTGACTCTGCAACTAAAACTTTCTCTTCTTCTTGTACCTGATTCAAAGGGAATAAAATATACCAATCTATGTGTCTAATTGAAGTTGACCTGGTAGCAGTGTATAAAATAACTACTTAACCCCTTAAAGTAATGCAAATGTAGCTTGATGAAAACACATGTAACATTAAACCTTGTGCAGCAAACTTAATATTACATTAATATTAGAGACTATTCCCAGAGACTATTGTACTAACTTTGGATTGAGGGGGTTCTCGCTTAATTGCAATTAACTTGGGCGGCTTAGATGTCTGTCACACCTACTGAGGCTGTTAGGGGTATTTAAGTATCGTTTAGCAGCTTTAGTGGGCGTCCCAGACGTCTAAGCCGCTTGGGCTGAAAGCAATTTAGCGAGGGACCCCGTGGAGATGGAGCGATCCTGTTAGATCGATCTAGGGATGGGAACCCAATCTTACATATACACACATACATAACTTATATCCCAATGCAGATAAATTAGATACAAGTTAAACCACCTATTACCCAACTAGCCACTATCACTGTGTAGTTAGAAACATAAACCAGATGATACAATAACTTTCAAACCTGCTTATCGAAAAACCAATCCTCTGGCAAAGATTACAGCGGACTCAAACTGAGATGCATCTGCATAATCAGATACATAGGTAAACAAATAATAACATGCATAATATGCCTGAAGAAAAGCAAACCTTTACCCATGCATCGTATCATTTTACTTACCTGTGTTGGTGGAAGTACGTCACTGCTATTATCATCTTCATCAGTCTCCAGCGTCAGTGGTTTCTGTAGATTTCCTCTGCTCCAGTCTCCACCTCCAGCCTCTTTCAGTGTAAACATAGATTCTGAGCCAGTTTCCGATCCTGACTCATCTCCAGCTTTAGCCTCCATTGATATAAAATGACTTGAGATCTAAAATGAACACATATTTAAAGACAAACTTCTATACAATCATATTGACATGGCACGAATTGGCAAACAGCCAGATCTGCAGTTGGTGACTTTTTTTAAAGTGTAATTAAAGCAAATTTGGTGTAATCAAATGTCTTCGAAAAAAATTCAAATATTTTAACTAGTTATAAATGATGACATAATTAATAAAAAAAACTTTTCACCAACATTTTTGTTATATATCCATAAAACAATAGCATGAGAGAATATAGTTTTGAAATTTAAGAGGAGGTTAACTTTTACAGTACAAAAGATTTTTATTTGGAAATAAGTGTTTGAATGACAAGAAACCTCTTTGGCTTACTTCAGCTTTCTTCAGCTCTTCTGCAATGTAGTACACACAGTCTACATCAGCTAAAGTTAATTTATCTTCATGCCCAATGTCATATCGTACCTCTGGACAAAGTAGCCTCTAAAACAATCATCAAGAAGTCACTCTATCATAAAGGGCATACAAATGATAAAGCATTAAGTTAAACATACTTATAAGGCAATTGCAATTAAAAGAAATATTTTTGCTATACAATCAATTTCCTTCTTTGGCAACACAAACTGTTTTAATCAAATGTTTGCCCTCTTGACTTCACCTATTTTTATGGCATACAAGGCATGTTTAACCCTTTTTTTTAAATCCCAGAAATTGCATGTACATTATATTTCCCCTTTATTACCAAGGTACAACATATCCAAAACTGGATGCTCTATAAATCCAATTTCCAAGTTCCTAAGTTCTTATTCTTACCATTACAAGTGATATTTACAACAAGGGTTTTTCCCAGGATTGGGGGTACAGGCCATCCAAAATTAACACCTGTAATTTCCTACAAAATTTCAGGGAGCCCAAGTATGCCTAAAGCCATCATATTTCCAAAAAAATCCATAACCCATCCAGCTGATTTTGAAAATATAGGTTGTCCAGTGATGCTGGTGGCCATCCAAATGACGGCAGGACAGTTCCCTGGGAAAACTATTGTTTGCAACTCTAAATCTCTATTTTGGGAGTGCCTCACAAATTAGAAACTTGGAACTCAAAGATTTGTATATGGATTTCATTCTGCATATAGTTTAAGATATGGTATATTTAAAGATGCATACAAAGTCAATTTTTTGTCACAAAAACCAACCAAATGCCAGCATATAGTTACAAGTAGTATAACTAAGAGAATTACCAAAAGGCATCGTTTAATTTTACCCCAAAGTGATGTTTGAACAGATTTTTCTGCTGGTATTCTAAGCTGTATGTCAATGGGGCAGGAAAGTAGGTCACGGAAGTAGGTTAAATTTACAACCATAAATTTAAAGAAAGGAGCAGTCTAAAGGTCTTTTATGGCCGATCGAGTGATCTATTCAGTTTATCCCTTGGCATGTCGAAATTATTTGAGTCAAGAATCTAGTAGAAGTGGTTTACATGTGTTACTGGGAATCCACACTCCACCGATGCTCGGTTCGTATGTACCTTTAAGTGAAAAAGGAGAGAGGCTCAGAGCGTCGACATTTTCAAAATTAAATTACTGTCTAATGTTCATTGTTTCACATCTCATACTCACAGAACCCTTTCTAGTTTTATTCACGCTGCCTTTGTCATAGATCATGTGGGACAATCCTCTAACTTCAATACAGGCATGCTGCTTGGATAAAGCCTGAAAGACATTTCATCAAGAAATTAAAATTAGTAGCCAATATAACTTTAATTATAATAACTCTCTTATAATTGCAATTGCTAATTACACCCAAGTGAGTTTTTTTCTGAAATACAAACTTGAAATTTTCTTGCAACATGGTATAATATTTTAGGAGGCTGCAGGGGAGATTTCTATAAAGGATCGATGTGAAAGAATGAAAACATGCATGCAGTGCAAAAAAAAAAGAGACTAACATCTTACCTTAATTGGTATGTGAATGTTACATTTGTCTGATTGTCTTCCAATCACATTATCCCCTAAAAAGAACATATGCAAACATGTCACAGCACAAGTAAAAAAATCTCTGAATAAATAAATAAGTCAAACAAACTTTTTTTGGTATATGTTAAAAGAATAAAACATAAGCTGTACTGAGCTTTTATACGTGGATTTCAATGAAACAACTTAAAGAATAAAATTAAAATGTGATAAACAGCGTGACAAAACAACCGTTTTGTCAGAAGGGCTAAACATAAACATGCCCACTATTTTGACTCTCTTTGGCTAACCAAATCTGACATTTTTAGAAAAAAAAAAAAAGTTTTAGATCAAAGACAACAGTATGACAGAATGAATCCTTCACCTTCATATACTGGAAAACTTGTTTCTGGAAACCCCTTTTGACAAAACACCTTCAAATATCCAACCTGTTAAAGCAGAAAAGATTGAATGCAATAAATGTATACCTAAAACGCAACATTCTTATACTTCAGAATAAAGGAAAGTAACCTGACTTCAGGAGACATGTTATCTGATTATTTAATTTCAACAATAAAGGTGATACTGATATTAAAACAATAAGTAAAAGCCAGGTGGAGGATTAATGGCTTTATCTTAAGATAATAATAAAGATACTATGGTTAACATATAAATAATAAACATGATAAAAAATTGAACTATATGACATATCAACAACTGGGCAGCATTAAAATTTTAATCAGCTTTGGTTGCATTTATGCAGGGTTGGAGAAAAATTCTTAGTCTGCAGTTCAAACTTTCAGGAAAAAGCTTAATGGGCTCTTTTCCCATACGTCAACTTCAAGTTAATACAGTTGGTGCAGAGAACCATCTTCATTTTCATAAATCAATAATAACATCTTAATTATAAAAAGCAAGCAGAAACTTACAACTTTCTGTTGGCCAAAACCATCTGCTTCATCATCCATTTCATCAAATTCGTCACTTAATGGCAATACCTGTGTCTGATCAAAGTCCATCTTTTTCATTCTACAAGCAATAAAACAAAAGCAGAAAATTTAACTCAAAAGTCTTACTTTAAATCAGCAAGGTAAATAAAAATGCATGTTAAATTACATGTTAAAATTACTGAGATTACTGAGATATGTATTTTCAAAACACCAAAATTATGTTAAATCACTCATTTCATGTATAACACTCTTTAACAAGGGTCATTTGTTAACACTTCCAACATAAGCATACAAGATTCAACAGAATATCTGCATCTGATGAAATGCCATTCAGAATACGAGATTCAGGTCTTCCATGTAGAAAATGCATATAATGTACTACTGCACATGCAAGAATGCTGCTTTGCATGCTTATTATGTCGACTTCATGGGAAGCTATTGTTGTAAGATACTAATATTATTTATTGCCTAAGCATAATTCCAGATCTCTGTGACTTAATAGGCCTTTTGTATTACATTATATTCAATATTGGACAATGTATAAGAATCTGATCATAGATTGGGGTTCATTAAAAAAACCATAAATACTGCAGCAAGGCAATTGTTAGATTTTTTTAAGTCTCACTACTGGCAAAAATCGGATTATCCTCAGTTTTTCAGCATTGTGCTGCTTATTAAACTGAAAGATTAATTAAGGTGCAGGGAAATTATGGCAGATGTCATTATTTTGGCCAGTCATTTATAACTACATGTACTAGTAAAGTATCAAATTAAAAAAGGAATAAAACATCAAACCCAAGTGTTGGGACGATTCATGCAACTATTTATGAGTAGGAAAAATTGCTCTTTACCCCAGGAAAATTTATTTTTGGGGGAAAATCCCATGGAATGGGCCTTTTACCAACCTAGCCAAAATCTGGCATCCATCCATCCATCTGGAAGAGTTTCAAGCACTAATAGCTTTCACCTTGTGCTAATTGCTTTTTCTCAGATTCTAGCATGATCAGTTAATGCAAAAATAGTGATTATGAGAGCCAGAAGCTAAAAACTAGGACTAGGTCTGGTTATATTGCCAAATTTATGACAAGCAAATTGGATAAAGAATGCAATGAAATTTAAAGGACAAAAACAACCCTCCATGTACCAAACTTATCCAACAATATCCAGAACGTGTATTTTACCTTGTATACCTTGGCCTGCTACATTAAGGACGTATTTTTAAAATCTTGCGTTAACCTTTTGAATGCAGTGTGGAACTAATTCCTCAACTTGCTGAAGACTCACAAAGGGGTCTACCCAATGAAAGGGTGGTCAAGAAATTACATTTACCCATTCTTCATGGTAATACGAATAGAAAGTCTCACAATAATTACAATAATACCGACTAACCAGTATGGAATGCAGTCATCGGGTCGTTATACCATTGTAGATGTGTACCAGTACATTAGATATATGTACAAATGTATATAAACCAGTTTCCCGCAACCTTCCCAATTGAAATGAACAAGAACGTTACTTTACATGCGGAACAAAATATTCAATATTCCGAGAAATTAGGATTAAAAAAACTCAAAAGTCTTCCCTAAAACACTAGCTTGCTAAAATCTAGTTTTAGTATCATTCTGATATTATATAACTCCATCTGCTCATATTTGCTTCCGTACGACGGCGAGAGCACATACCACAATCTTTCATTTATAACTACCCTTTCTTTTGTCTGTCTGTGAGTCTGCTTGTTGCCGCAGAGTCGAATGCAGAGAGCCAAGGGTGTAAATATATTCCAATTTTAATCACTCAGAAATGGGCGTGACAAAGAAAATCATTAAGGATGGAGATGGTAACTATCTATGTATTTTTATTTATCGAGGCCTGGAATGAAAATGGTTACTTGCATGAAATGGTTGCATTTCATTTCTTTGTTGAGAAAATAAAACGATTGGCGTGTGCCTTGGAACAAATTGGATTGAACCTGGTGCAGCTTACTGCACAGTTAAATGGAATCTAGTGCTCTAACGCTGGTAACAGTGTACCCAAGTCTTGTTTTTATTTGAAGTAAACGCTGCTTCACGACAATAACATGATGCATTGAATTTTAATATTTATAATTATTAATACTTTCGACACTTTGGCAGTTTTCCCCCTGGCCCAAAATTCATGCGTTAGCACTGTTAGCACTCCTATTGACGATTCTGATGTGTACTGGCTGTGCTTAATGCATAATAGCAAAGGCCTCAAAAAGTGTGAAATGAAGACCAGTGTGTGCACTTGCAGCGGTGTAAGAGCACCAAAATGTTTATCTTACCTCTCATTTCTCAACTTGCACACTCCTGTTAAGCCAACCAGTTTTCCTATCAACAATGCCATACATGTCATCTCTCCTGGATAATCCAGGATTGTCCCAGATACAGAATGTATCTCCCAGTCTCCTGTACGGTAACCAAATCCGGTTAAAAGCGACTTTGAAAACTTGCACCACTGTCAGCTACCATCCTACCCTAAATACCCAAATCAAAACAATTTTACTGAGCAAAATCTTAGAATCTCCAGATTTTAGATGTCCAGAGGTTGGCATCTTTACAGTGCTGTGAGATTGGTAATATCCATCTGCTTGTCTACCAGTTAGGCCACTGTTAAGCTTTAATTTTAGATTAAGTTCAAATTGGCAGGTGTCATTATCTCAAACCATTGTCATGACTGGACCATGAAGAGAGAAAATTATTGTAGTTCAGAATACTCTAAGTGCCTTGTGGACATTTTTATAAGATATAAAGAAATGTGTTCAGTGTAATAGCAGATATGTCAGGATCATTACCAAAACTCATCCATTGGTGCACATGCACATACATACTATAAACTGTTATACTAGCAAATGTTTATATCACATTGGTATTTTCCTAACAATTTTTTTGAAATATTTCAGGGACAACATACCCAAAGCCTGGGCAAACGGTTGCCGTACACTATATAGGTAAATACAAAATTACATTATACTTTTCAACATAAATGTTTAAATTGCCACCAAAATCATGCTTGAATGTCACCTTGATTGGTTCAACATTAAATATAGGCTTTTTAAAACACCCTCTTCACAGTACATTTGAGAGGCTGGACTGTCAGAGGCTCAAAGATTGTTAAATGCTATAATTCTTTGTCAAATTGATTTAGGTTGTCTGTGCACATGTCAGCTTTAGCTGACGTATTTTAATTTTGCATAAATTTTTACATTATACTGTAGAAAGTTTTGTGTAATGACTATTTATGCAAAAAAAGTATTTTCATGTTCAAAAAATCAACTTTCAGGAACATTGGAGAATGGAACAAAATTTGATTCATCGAGGGATCGTGGAAAAGTTTTCAAATTCAAGATTGGTGCAGGCCAAGTTATTAGAGGTATTTCCATAATGCTTCCTATGTCATATTTCCTATGTCGTATTGCGTTTAAAGAAATTTAACCTACATGTGACCTACTTTTCTGCCCCATGTATATACAGTATAGACAGCTAACAGAAAAATCCATTCAAATATTATTTTTGGGGTAATATTAAACAGTCTTTTAGTAATTCTCTTAGTTGTACTATTTGAAACTATATGCTGGCATTTGGTTGTTTTTTTACGTGGCAGAAAATAGACTTTGTATGATCTTTAAAACGTATTTAAAGAATTCATTCAGTGTAGAGTTACCTCTGAGATAAAGTAAATTTAAGTAATTTACAGTATTTGAATTCCTTTAAATTTTGATAAAAGAAGAGTATTGATCAGTTACCTTTTTCTTTTTTTAAGGTTGGGATGAAGGAGTTACAGAGGTAAATACTTTTTACATTTGTGATGAAAATCTATTGATATTTGCATGTTTTGGTAAGTATTGCCTGGTTGTTTCAATTTTAAGCTCCCCATGCCAAAGTCAAGGGTAGTTATTGCCATGCCTTTGGTGTCACTATGCAGATAGATACACATATTTATCATGGGAAGGATTTTTTCTAGTGATGGTATTTCCAGTCTCATGCAAGTAATAAAATTTGGTATGCATTTTATTTCTTTAACCTCAGCACTGTTTACCTGTGAAATGTACTTATCATGTTGTCTTTTACGTGTAGTAAGTTTTCATACCCCCGTCACACTAGAGGCGGAATGAGCAAGAATGCCATCGGAAAGACAATTCTTTGTGCGCTCCTGGATATTCGAAGAGCATTCTAAAAATTCAGAGTGCATTCTAAATATTTTTACCCATTCTTGTGGCATTCCGAATGTTTTTGTCATGTCAAAAACTTTCGAAGTGCATTCCAAGTGGAAATTTATTGAATGGCATTTGAGCAGTATTCTAACTGCACTATGACTGCATTCTAAATATTCTCACGGCATTCCGACAGCATTCAAAACATTCTGATAACATAAGAGGAATATTCGAACTGACAAGTTACTTAAAGCCCCTGTCAAACTTATTCGAAATCAGTAGGAATCAAGCCGGAATTACTAAATTTAAAAATTTGTGCAATATTGGAGAGAGAATTTAAAATTATCATAAAATATTACGGCTTTGTAAGAATGCCTCTGGAATACTAAGAATGCACATCGAACCCGCCTGGAATGATTCTTGCACATTCCAGGTATATTACCTCTCAAATGCACCTCGAATGTAGTTGGAATACTGTAGGGATATTGCGATAAATTTCCTCTTGGAATGTACCTCGAAAGTTTTTGACATGACAAAAACATTCGAGCCGACCACAAGAATGGGTAAAAATATTTGGAATGCACTCAGAATTTTTAGAATGTTTTTAGAATGCTATTCGAATATCCTGGAATGCACAAAGAATTGTATTTTCGACGCCATTCTTAATCATTCCGCCTCTAGTGTGACGGGGATTTTATACTCCGCCAGAATGTTTCGAATGTGCCTCGGATGAGCTGAAATATTAATTTTGCCAGCAATCGAACTACACTAGTGCGCCGTTCAAAGTATATTCTAAATATTCTTACTGCCTTCTTACATCATTATAAATATTCCTAGTTTTCCAACTACATTCAAATTTCTTTTGAGAGCTACACAGTCGAAAATGCACTCGTCATTCCAGGCGAATTCAAGCGCATTCTGAGTATTCCAACGGTACTCTTACAATAATTAAGGTAAATTTGAAATTTTCCCCCCGAATGTGGTTCGAATTTAAAAAAAATTTTGTTCAGGCTCATTCTTCTTCATTCCTGCTGATTCCAAAGAAGTGTGACGGGGGTATTACTCCAAATTCCTAATAAATCTTGATTTCAGGTACTTGAAAAGAGTTTAACTTTTCCTTTTGAAATGTCTCTGACAGCAAGGAGAGATTATTGTGGGGAGATAAGCATAACTTCGGTTCAGATATGTTGGCTCTGAAATTCTAGATTGTATTGCTGAAATGAAATTAAATACTGAATGGAAACCTTGTTCAGTCTGCATTGCTAACCACTGGAACCAAGCCTTGTAATGGGAAAATTGAAGCCATGCTAGTAAAAGTGTGTAAATTTGTAAAATTTCTGATCATTGTTTTTGTTGGGAGTCAGTAGGCTAAAAATGGACACAAACTGGAATTTCAGTCATTTTCTATTAAATATTAAGGTAAAATGTACAGTTATAAATCTTTATATAAGAAAAAGGTTTAAATCACAGTAATCTTATGAATGTGCTACATAAAAGGGTGAATCCCTATTTAATAAATCTGCTTCTTCCCAATTTTAGGTACTAGTAGGTAATTCCTGGAGATGAAACTCAGTAGTCATCTGTCTTATTTACATGCTATTGAATATACA